GACTCCTTTTTAGTGCAATGCGCACACTTCTAGCGTTTAAAATTCTGCTTCTAGTTCTTCGATGGTTTCTACGTCGCCCGAAGAACCTCCCACCCGGCCCCTCGGAATTCCCACTCCTACGGTCTCTACCAGCCATCGTCTGGGGGCTGAGGAAAGGTTTACAGCCCCATCATGTTTTGGGGAGGTACGCTGTAAGCTACGGTCCGGTGTTCCGTGTCACCAGATTAAAACCTGGCGTAGAGCAGAGTTGATACACTGGGGATCCATTTTGTTCCAATTACGTAATTAAAAAACATTTTCGGCCAAATGCAAAAACCTCCTGTTAATTAATAGTGTGCGTGATCATTTAGCTGACAGTATCGACGTTTTGTGAAAAAAATTATCCTTCCCCATTCCTATATGGCTGCAAGTATTTAAATGGTTTAATGTCAGGATATCAAATGAGTAAATATTAGGTTGTCGATAAAAATTATGCTGAGTGCGGTGTCCCCATTTTTGAGGAAGGATATGAAACCAAAACATAAGGTAGCCCTGGAGGGACATAAATTTTCACAACTTATATGCACGACTTTAAGTCCTGAATATTTTTACGGTGTTTGCATGTGAGCCAAGCTACATGTACATCGAACACAACGCGCAAGCGTGCGATACTGCATTTACTGTATGTAATTATGCAATGTACACGTACACTGTACATATAGGCGTTCTGCTGATGACGTCATAAAATCAGCTGGGAGTGTGAACGGCCAAAAGGGTATTTTTTGAGGGCAGGGAAAGGCAGGATCTTTTTATTAATTTTGGGGTTAAGATTAATGGGGTGTAACAACCTCGACTCCTTAACTGACGCGAGATGTTTTTAGTAGCGCTGAATTTTGAGTCTCAGTAACCGAACTCGAAGCAATCGTCCTGGCCCAAGTGCACGGACAATTCAGACTTAAAAAGAAGTCTTTGTTGACAAACAGAAGTTGGTTAAGAATACGAGTTTCTTTTATTCTCAAAACTTCGCCTCATGCAAAGCTCCTCACAGTCAAACAGGGAGTTGGTGAGGAAAATCCTCCTGTTTGCTTACAAGTATTTCACCCCAGCAAAATACTTCACAAATCAAGTATTTTCTCAACATGAAAACACTTCACAGGCTCAAAGCATCGAAGCTGGTCTCATCAGACTTTAGCTCTCTGCTCGCAAAGTTCCAACTCGATTTCTCTACAAACTTTCAGGGTTTTTATACTCTACAAATCTACTATATTAACATACTTTACTGAATATAAGTCACAGGTAAATTATGCAGTAACCCTGCTCTAAATTGATGACTAATTCCATTGACCAATCAGAATAAAACCAAATGATGTTAACCCATGACTTATATCAATTTCTTAATAAAGTTCCAACCCTTCATTTCAAAGAAATATTATTCCATGGAACAAGGAAAGTTGTGGGTGCACTGGCCTCTGCCCCCACATTCCAAGTAGCTAACCAAGTTTTATCAATGGGTCAACTGGCCTTGGTGAACATCTGGTGTTTGACTCATTGACCACTACACTCTTCTGAAAATTTGTTCACAAAATCTCAACACTGTTGCATGGGGTACTCATTGAATTTAAGATATTTTGGAAATGGTTACGTATTACTGTTATTTTGAAATACTTCAGGTGAACTAAATGTTTTCAATTTCTGTTAACACTGAAGACACACCTCTTCGCCTCGCAATTACACAACGCCACAGCTCGACGGTTCCCTTGCACCGTGACATCACGTCGCATTTTCGCCTTAATTGTCATGATTACTTTCGTACCTACACCGTGACGCGTCACGCGTCGTGTGTCACGTCGTGCCGTCACATGTAGTGTTGTGATATCTCAGGCTTGTCATTTATCTTGCATATTTTCTACCTAAACATTGCTCCTTCCTTCGCTCGTCACGCGTCGCACCGTTGTACATCTTGTAGTGCGTCGCGTCGCGTATAACGTCGTCTGAAACACGGAGCGACGCACGTTGCAACGCCCAACGCGACATGTCTTGTGCTGTCCAAAGCCCTTTGCCCACACGATGTGTATCATAGAGGGCGCCTTTACTGCTTTCTCCTTCAGTTCCATCTCCTGTGCTTGCAAAATAGTACTCTTGTACATTTTCTAAGGCAGTGCTTATGTTTTTCACTGTTTTTCCCCGACTTTCCGGGGAGGCAATAAACAACTTCGTTTAAGCCTTCTATTGAATTATTCAATATGTGTTACGTGTTCATGACGTCACTCAGCCTACACTGAAAAAAAAATGGCGACCATTATCTCGAACCCCGAAAATTTCCAGTTAAAATGTCGAGCTTATAGGTGGTTGTCGTAGGTTGTTATAGGTGGCCAACGTCATCTGTTCCGTCGTGTTTGCAAAGCGCTACTCTTACGATGATCGAGATTTTATGCGACTTCTGAGTTTACTGAGTAAAAGAAGTTGCAGCATCTGGAACTGGTGGTGTCTTGTTTTTATATAAAGGTATATTTCGTCTGCCCTATTTCAAGTCAAAAATGAAAAGGCTTCGGGCTGACTTTGCTCAAATCTACAGTTTTGTGAAAAATCCCATCGATATTCATCGGGCTAAACTGGACCCTGACAACCTGAATGACCTCATCGACGTTTACCTCGCAGAAATTGAACGAAACACTTCCGCAAGCGTCCCTGGGGAATCTGCAAGCTACAGTCATCCAAGCAAGCTTTATACTGTATCAGATCTCTTCGCAGAAGGCTCTGACAAGGCTCTGAGTGGTGCCTTCTCTACATGGCCATCTACTCGGAGATTCAGCAGCGTGTCCAGGCTGAGATTGATGCCGTGGTTGGTCGCAATCGGCTTCCCAGATTGGCTGATAAACTAGGTCTGAATCTCACCCGAGCCGTGATCTGGGAGGTCCAAAGGATGACCAGTATCGTCCCCTTGGGCTTGCCACACGTCGCCGCTTCCGATACTCAGCTGCAGGGTTTCCTGATCCCAAGAGACACCATTCTGGTTTCCAACATGTGGAGGATTTTCCGAGACCTGAAACTTTGGCCCGAACCGGAGATGTTCAAGCCAGAACGATTTCTGAACGACGAGGGCAAGGCGTTCAAACCAGGAGAGTTCATACCTTTTGGCGTCGGTGAGCGATCATTTTACCGAGTACCAATTGTAGCTATATATTCAGGGAGGTTAGCGCTTACAAGGATATTCATTACTAACCCGATCATGGTCAACAACAACAACAAAGCTATCACTGAACAATCTCTGCAAATTTAGTATATAATGTGATTTATCTTATAGTGACATACATGGTTCACCATACATCTAGGAATGAAGAACTCTCAAACAGTAATAATAAGGACAGCCAACAACGCTCAAAGGTTTCCACACTAAGGAAATTAAGGAAATTGGTACCCTAAATCATGGCACCACTCGGCTTCCGCAGTTTAGATTTCAACAGTTTCAAACCGTCTTAGTCGGCGATGGAAGCCCATTTATCATAAAATGCAACAATCGTTCACAACTACAACATGGGATTTTCCCCTTTTGCAAATAATTAACGATAACAATCCAAAGCTTTGCCAGGCTCTGTGCTTCTTCGACACAGCGTCGTATCACCCATGACTAACGTAATTTGCCGTGCTACACAGGGCGACAAATACGAACAGAGATAAAAAATAATCTTTCCTTTGATCCTTTCACTGGTCCTACGGTTTACAATACTTATCATTTAACTGTTGAAAACATTTAAAAAACGATACTCACGGTAAAACTGCTGAAAATGATTGGAAAATGCCTTGGTTAGGACGAGCACGTCTTTGTCAGGGCTGGCAAAAAAATGGCAGCTTGGCGGGCCTACAATCACGTGATCGACGTTAATGCATTACAACTTTATCATGATTTTTGTCACCTTAGACAAACTTTACCAAGGAATCAGGGCCAAAATTGTCACTAAATTTAGTGATTTTTATAATATGAACATAACTGCTGATTCTGTAAAGTTACAAGGAAAATTCATGCACCAACGGTTGTCATGGAAACCCTTGCCAGTCTTCGCGACACGCTCCAAATCTACGGAACCCTACCACTGACAATCAGCTTATGCCATACGCCCATTACAAATTATATAGGTGCACATAGCTGCAATCAAGGTGTTTGAATACAAACTTCCAAATTGCACGTTTCTCAGCTAAGCTATATTATTTTCAACTTTTTTTCACTATTTCAAAGGATATTTCACTGCTGTTTTGCTTTTTCCGCTAATGATATTTCAATATGAGCAAAACTGTGACATTATTTCAGGAAGAAAGCCTCAATGTTACATTGGTTTGTAGACTTTGCTGGGAATTATCTCTTCTTCAGTGATTCGTTGTTGTTTATGTGCATAGCAATTAGACAAACACTAGTCCCTCTCTCGGAAATGTTTTTAGTTGTTAAATTTTGGGTTCAAAATTTGAATAGAAACACCAATGCTCTGAACCATATCTTTCCCAAATGACCTCACAGCACAGATAGATCTTTTGTGCAAGGTGTGTCGTTAACCGGCGTGCACAGCTCTCCAACCAACAGTCAATTAGCGCCCTCTATAGTAAAACATGCTATCTCGCAAGTAAGTGGCGGCGCTGTTATGATCGACCCTTGTGCGCGGGCCATTGGGAAAACCCCTATTGGTGTAAGTATTGTTACTGATTGTAGTGCTCGGAAGGGCCTACTGCAATATTAGGTTACAAAAGGCCTAGTTAGAGATTTAACACTGAGCCCAAAATATAGTACCAAGACCTACTGAGAAGGTAAGGCAAGGGCAGTATTCAGTCAAGCGCAGTAAAGACTACGCTAGGATATGATAGGCCACATCATGTGCATCACTACCAAGTGCAGTCTGTGCTGTCATTCAAAGCTACATGATATATACATGTAGCTCACATATATGCATCATGGCTGTTCTTCAATGTATGCCTCGGCCTACATGTATGTAGGGCTTATGTATAAATTCAAAATGCTTTCTCGCAAGTGGTGGCGCTGTTATATGTGATGCTTGTGCACGGGCCATTGGGAAAACCCCTGTTTGTATAAGCAATGTCACCGATTGTAGTGCTCCGTAGGGCCTACTACGATGATTTAACTTTAATTTAAGCCTAAGGCCCTAAGCTAAGGGGGGTACCCCAGTTTTTGTCATTGTAAATGCAATCATCTTGTAAAGTGGGTCAGCAACCCCCAGAACCAAAGGCAATGATTTCTTTGGAAATTTCAAATAGTAAATTGTGAAAAAAAGGTGACTTTCTTACTCCAGCCATACAAATTGACTCCACCATGTGTCATCAACATGTTTTCAGGAGTTAAACACTCACAGTTTCCCCTCATAATTTTACTTAAAACTCGAAACCCAGCCCTCGTTTCACAGTATCAACCCCACAATTATTGAGCATGATGTCACAGTCATCTACTAAGGTGAATCCAAAAGTTTAAATGTAGGTCTCCCTTCTACTATAGGAACGGGGTCCCCAAACGTACAATCCCCACACTTAGGCCTGAATGCATTAGCATATTTTGTTAATATGGACAGAGATGGGTTTGGCTTTTTACTCCATTCTAGCCAAATTTCACAGTACTGGTAGGCCGGTACCCTTGCCTTGGATCATGCTATGCTGCATGGAGATACAGGGATTAAGCCAGATAGTGAGATCCTGTACACATGCATGTTCAGCCACACGTTCGTCTCCCCACATGCCCCAGCAACCCTAGGGGGAACTGTTTATAACTGATCAGGCTTTGGCTAAAGAAAGATTACATATTAAAATGAATGTCTCATTAGTTTCAAACCCCTGGCCCCCATAATCAGGACCAAGCCTAACCACTTCACCACATATCTCCCCCCCCCCCCGAAAGATGATTTTCACATGGCTCAGCTGATTCCCAAACGAATAAGCCCAGCCCAGGCAGTTCCTACTCCCGACCGTATGCTTCAGAGTTGGTGCACGTTTATTGATAAACTTTTTCTCGTTTTTTCCTGGTTTCATTGGTGGCAGGATTTGTAGCAGTCATCAGCACTGGATTTGAAGACTTGGGCTTTTGTGGGCGTGGCAGGGACCGTACTTCTCTATCAGGTAGGGTCCGTTGATGTATCGATATTAGCGTACTAGATTTTTTCTGAGATCACATTAAAATCAATAACGATTTGATATTTGCTTTCAAACTTTTAATCACAATAATGTAATTATTGAAAATCATGCTATGGGAATAATTAAAACAATTCCAAAGGAAGTGAATCTCCAGATTGAGTTAATGTAGTTGCTATATTAATTTGCTTTAAAATTACAAATGCACAAGTGGAATCTAGCTGCCCATTGTTTTGGTCATTGGAAATAAAAACATTGCAATCTCGCAAGCATCGACATCTGATCTATGACTTCATCGCCCACTGGAATTTGTGGCCTCCTCTGACCTGTTGGACCATCAAAATTCACACATTTTTTTTACTCTTCATTGATTCTCATGGTGTAGTGTTCGGTAGAAAGTATTTTCATAATTTTGTATGTCGGTCTTGCCTACAGGTGGTTTGTCATGAATGGATAGATAACAAAGAACAGAGTCAACTTGTGGCATAAAATGTTAATTTCTTGTCATTTTGCATCATGTGCTATTCTTGCATTGGGAATGAAGGGTGACTTTGAGGCAAACAAAATTCTGAGTCTCCTGTAATATTAAGCAGTTTTTATCTATCATACTCGGTTGAATTTCCTATATCAATTATTGAAAATGTTGAAATTATTGACAGACCCTACTATTAGGTTCGTACACGTATGCACATGTACTGTAAATGTGTGAGACTGGAGTTTTGTGATATTGACTAGGGCACTGTGCATCAAGGTGGCATGTACATGTTACGTAGATTCAGAAGGCCGTGCTCATGTGATGTGTTAGATATTTGATTACGTTTCTCTTTTAAATTGATCAAGAGTCACAGTTTGAAAACAAGGGTTTCCCTAAAACCTCTCAAGAGCAACAAATTTTCCAGACCATCTTATAGCCAGGGGGAGAGAGGAGAGAGAATCCGCCCTTCTGGAGTTTGTGGCTAACCCAGGCCCAGTTTCAGCGTTGTGCATATACATGTATATGCAGCATCGCATGCCATTTCCTGAACCAGTGCCATTCCCGCTTGCCTAGATGTAAAGAGGCCCTGATACATGTTAAAAATACACATAGACCCTCCTTGATAGCACCCAAGTGGGTACAGTCGTTTGGAATCTCTCCCCGTGATTCTCTCTTTGCAAACCGAAAATCCATTTCCATTTTGCGTATTTCACTGCAGCTGATTGCGGTGGTTTGGCAGCCAAAGATGGAGGAATCTTCTCAGCAGAGCTTGATGGAGGCTGAGTCCCAACAAATCCCAGTGGACTCTCAGCAAATCCCAGCAGACTCCCAGCAAATCCCAGCAGACTCTCAGCAAATCCCAGCGGACTCTCAGCAAATCCCAGCAGACTCTCAGCAAATCCCAGCGGACTCTCAGCAAATCCCAGCAGACTCTCAGCAAATCCCAGCGGACTCTCAGCAAATCTCATCAGACTCCCAGATGTCTGTGGAGCAAGATTTCCCAGGTACCCTCCTCCCTCAAAATTCACAAAACACAACTAAAAAAAAAAAATTGTTTTTTGGGAATTGGTTTCTGGTATTGGAGGAATGCAGTCCTCAAAAATGCCATGGGTACTGCATCTCCCAAGCCTGTGGATTGTCCAATCAAAAGATGTCAATCTATCTCATGATCACATGACCACACAGGCTTTTGAGCTCAGCTATCCATAGGCAAGCTGTTAGTCAGCGCCCGTACATCTACATGTAAGTTGGGCATATTTTCAAGTCAAATGCCTATGAACTCTTTCATGCATAGTGGTCGCCGCTCATGCCAGTACAGATGTCTTCATGCTGGCTCTGTATTCTTGTCATATCTTTGCTAGTTACATGTGTACATGTAGAGTGTACATGTACACATGTACTGTACATGTACTGTACTTGTTACTATGACAAAGGTGGACGCACACCAGATCACATGGTTCGGTAAGAGCGTCCCATTGGAGGGGAGAGGAAACTTCAAGGTCAAGCCTTACCCTCCTTGGCCCCTTCAAAATCTACGAAGTTTGTTACGGCGGATTTTGCAGGATTGAGGAAGACCGCGCCCACCCACTGGGAGAGGGGGGGGTTGGGGTTTGTACAGTGATACTTACCCCGCCTTACACCTCTCCTACTGAAATTTGAATCCTGCCTTGGCCGACACGGGGATTGGGTTTTTAGTCACTGCCTGACTGCCTGGGTTTTCCGTGGAATGTTTGGGGTTTTTCCTCCTGCAAACTGCCACATTCCTCAACTTACTCGCAGTTGTTACACCCTCACATTTCCTATGTTGTCAGTGGTCGCCTGTTGAAAAAATCATCCTCAAGGTGACATGGCTACCATCAGTAAATATCAGTTGTTCATTTTACTATAGTCCTTCATGTCCCTTGAAAGGTTAAGTACGCCGACAGTCAGTGGAATGCATCACATGTACGTTCCAGTCGGTCGATTTTGACCCCATAGCACTGCTGTAGTATGACCTGACCAACATCGGGAGGTGCTGGAATTACTGTTGTGGGAAGTGAATGAACTGCTTGGAGTCTAGTTCAGTAACTCTCACTCTCTGCAAAAGCTCGCTGTGAAAAATAGGAGGATCGATGCTTTTTTTATACCGTACTGATTTTGAGAGAAATTTATTGGAGTGTTTTCATCGGCTGCCAATGCGGACAAATTTGGACCGTGATATACATGTACATGCATACATGTACCGGTATGGCCACAAAACACAAGTCAGCCTTGTTTCCCCTATGCCTAGGAATTTCTGCCAGTCAGGGTTGCAGTCCAAACCTCTTAAGACCTTCACAAGACCAACGCAAGGCCTCCAGTCTGAATTCAAGTCACAAGCTATTCAAATGAACTGCAACAAAAGCATTCCTTTATCCTTGTTCACACTGTAATCTGTACCTGTGATAAGTCTTGTGACTGGTCCTGTGACTAGTCTTGTGACTGGTCGTGCGAATGGTCTTGACCACAACACTTGCTGCCAGTGTTCAACAACCAGAACATTTTGTACCCATGAATAGGCATGCAAGCTGTGGTTTGAATGAAACCCGTAGATCACTTTACTTTGTGCTGACCGGAAAAGAGCGGAACACAATTTACCTGTCAGTTTTGATATCAAAATAGACACGTGTTTCAGAAAAGAAATATCACTCTCTGGTCTCTGCCCAGTGACAGCCTCCACCCTGATACGCATGAAAAGCAGGTTGTGGGATGCTGAAGGCATAGTAAAAATGGAAAACCATGAGGGAGACACGGCTATTACATGACGGTAACGTAGGACCCCCCTTTGCTGTTTTGTCTGCTATATAAAAATGGCTCAGTGGACAAAACAAAATGAAAAGGAAAGAGTGAACTTGAATAAAGTGAAACATTTGGCCGGTGTTCTTTTCAATTCAGAGTCCCAGTCCCAAATGGAGATGTCCCAGCAATCTCAGGCCGAGGAGTCCCAGCCTGATCGCACTACCACTGTCCCCAAACTGCCAAAGCTTCACCGTGGCAGTGACGCCGACGCTGCCACCGACAGCTCAGCATCAGCGGCAACGGCGAGAGCAGAGCAGCCCGAGGAACCAGACGATGATGTGCACCAGAACGGGGAGGGGAGAGGCCCAGGAGATACATGCACAAAAGAGGAGACGGAGAAGTTGGCGGAGAGTGAAGCACCCACAGAGGGGGACGAGAGGAAGATTGAGGAGCAGTGGCATGTGTTTCCAGACACCCTGGAAGGATTCAAGTATTTCTTCAATGATTGTAAGCGACAGCAGACTTAAAGACTGTCATAAGATGTCATTTCATCCCACCTTTTTTTCTGAATTGAATAGAAAAAAAACTCTTACATTCTGTAGAAGCTCTGCTTATCTTAATCAAACCAGCCAGCTGACCCTGCAGACTCGATGGTTGGGTATACGGACATCACATAGAAAAGTCTGGACTCATGGTGCCTTTAAGCGGCCCACACAGATCATTGAAGCAATAGGCAGCCATCTTACCATGCCGAATGCAAAGGTCATTTTAAGGCTTGCTTGCCATTGTTAACCAATGCCGCATGGTAAGATGGCTGACAGCAGCTTCAGCCAGTAAAAGAGCGTTGCAGATCAACGTGTTTTGTATGATCCCCCCTGGTTGAGTGGTGAGACATCTCCACTAGTAAGCAGGAGCTCTCAGATTTGAGAACACCTTAGTGAGCTTTGAGTTACACCTTAGTGATCTTTACGATCAAGTAAACCTTTCCAATTCTTTAGCACAACACCGAGCACTTACTGTTTGTAACTATACTATGGTGTTTGCACCAAAACAAAATTTGAAAAGATACAAAAGATATCTAACAAAGTACATTCAAAAATTGGTCACTGAACATATTCGGTCCATTTGCCCTGATACTCTGCTCACTATGCGGTAAAGGGGAACCCCTAATGTGATGCACAAGCTGCATACCCTATGGCTGTTGTGCCTACTGCACCCCCCCCTCAGAAATCTGAAAGGAATTCCAATGATTCCATCAACACAAAAGAAGACTCAATGGAGGGGGAGTCCCCCTTTACCGCATATCTTGCATCACGTTTTCCCTCCCGCACTACATCTGACTCATTATTTTGGTAAGAATTCTGAGAATGCCTTATTTTTTCAAAATTGATAGTACATGTATAAAGGAACATACACGTACTTGCACCTCCTGAACATGTCAAAGTCACTTGAATTCGACTTTATTAAGAAAACGGACATTTTTAATCGACAGCGTATGTATCAGTTTGTGAAGTTTGGCTTGGTTGGGATTTGGTGTTGTTGTATTTGGGTCATTCCAGAAATGAGGGGTCCGTTGTTTTCATTCCCTTGTCACATCCGACGTATGATTTCGTAAGCTCAGAACACATTTTCTAATTTCCAAGAGTGATGAATTAATGCAAATTACATGCCGAACAAATAGTAATAGTTTGCAATCAATTCCGGTGATATTTTCATGTCAAATGACAAAGGTCGGATATACGGTAACAGGGACGCAATAATGGCGCACTCTTGGCCCCCTAATTTCAGGAATTACCCATCTGCATTTTTGTCTCCCCCACCCTTACACCTTTTAGGATGACCCCAACTTCAAAATATTACCATGTTAGTATTGGCACGAACTAATGAACAGAAAAATACATATTTGGTGTTGAACCTTCGGGTTGAGCGAAGTCTACAGTTTTGATCAGTCATCTTAAGAAAAGTCTATCTGTTTGTTACACTTGGGATTGTGAAATCTGAGAATGGCCCACACCGTGCTGGGATCAAAGTGAAATGCTACATTGGCAACTCCACAGGAAAGGAATGGCCGGTTGGGAGCGTATCATTTCTTTTCACACGCACAGTTTCATGAATATGTCATGTGAGGTCAAGCCACTCGTCAGCCATGACACAAATTACAAATAAGAAGAGTTAACTTTGACAAAGAAAGGCCACTGTCACTGTCATCTGTCATTGTCATTTGAGTAGCTCATAACCTAACTTGAGACTGGACTCCCTGTGATCAATTTCAGGTGGACTTGAAGGAACTCTTGAGGGCTCGCTTACAGCCTCATTCACTCCCTGCTTTGCCTCTCCAAGAGAAAGTTTGTCTTCACAAGGTGACCTGACATCATCTCACGGGATTATTTCCATCTTTTTCAGATGGTCAGTTGAGACACACAGACACAGGCGAACCCTTCGTGTTTGAAGTTAGGAAAGGAGACATGCAGTACAATCAAAGACACTACGAGGCCCTCGGGGAAGTCATCACGGAGCACGTCTATGGACTTCTGGAGTCGGAGGCAAACCTCAAGAGAGTTTATGTGAGTACTGGACCAGGACACTAAGGGAGGTGACTGTCTTCACCGAACTGCATTATGTGTTCATTAGGGACCATTAGTGGTGTTGCGGTCAGAAAAACTGCGAAGTTATATTGCCGTGTCGTGAAGTTGTTTCAAGATACCCCTATATACTAGTACATACATATATGAGGACATTTTTATGTGAATTTCACATCACTCTCAATATTTTGAATTAAATAGGTCCAAATTGATAGTCTAACAAGCACATTTTCCTAGAGGTGTACATGTATGCATCTTGTACATATATTCACACCATTTGTGGTACTTTTTAATAGAAATGATTTGGGATGCACTTTGGCTGCGGGATACTTAATTCAAAAATATGAAAAGGGTCGTTTGGTGCCAAATCAGCCTTCTCTTGGACCTGACCGTCACAGATTGAAACAAAATTCAGTGTGCTGAGTAGACTCCTTGAGAAACCCCCCGAAACCAAAATGTTGTCATTGGTTCAATTAATTTGGAGAAAGGAATGAAGTTTTTACTAATTACATGTAACTTGACCTGCTTTGGTTGGACGTCCTTATTTCCTACAGTAAAGCACCCACAGAGATAGTTTGCATCATTTTGAAGCTCTTGAAATGGTCTTTGTTCTTGAAATCAAATCATAGTCATATCATGTAACAGAAAAGATTATGTAAATATATGACCTTTGACCTTGATTTGCAAATACTCCATATTTTTCAAATCTATAAGTTTTTACGTGTTATCTGAAGATGTAAGCATTATTTTAACTCGGTACCAAGTCACCTTAGTCTCCTACAGTGATATCTTGTTAAATCAGATTCCAGGAACTCAAATCTCTGTGTACACGTACATACATGTACATGTAAAGGCGCCTTTCCATATGGTTATGCATTAACACTTGCACCAAGTAATGTGTTTCCGCCAAAATCGCTCCCGGGGCAATTTAGAATGCCCAAACACAACGCGCACGTGTATTATGTTAATGGAGTCGATTTTTGTGTCCGTGAAAATGAAACGAATGAATGCAACGCACCCAAGAAACATACTTAACTCATTCCCGTCAATAGAATACATACAAGTAAGATAGGATTTTAGGATCGTAGTGGGTTTCAAACTTAATGATTGTCATCAAGCAGTGGCTCGGTACAATAGTTTTTGTAATGCTTACTGCCATTGGTGGGGGCCACTGCAAATGACCAGTGATAGGGTTAGTACATATACCAAGCCCAGTGGAGTCATATATGACGGGGAAGACCCGTAGATTCAGGCAGGGACTGGAAGCCCACTCCACGCTTGAGTTCACTTTGCTCACCGCAGCTTGGTGACGCCGAAAGCGAGCCCCGGGGGTTTGTGTTCATGAGCGAGAATGCCCGGACGACGACGGACAAACTGTTGATTCTGATTCACGGCAGCGGGGTGGTCAGAGCAGGCCAGTGGGCCAGGCGACTCATCATCAACGACTGCCTAGACAGCGGCACGCAGTTACCCTACATCAGGCGGGCAATGCAGGTAAGATGCTGTGCTCGGTTTTATATATCGGTGCTTGAGTAAGCTTCTCTAATGAGTCATAGGCCTCTGCACGTACATAGACTTTTGAAATATCTGACAAACGGTCCTGGCAGTCATCCATGCTTGTGGTATTGGGATTGTGTGTCTCTGGTTCAAGCAGTCTTAGAGTGTATATGTACATGTATCTTTCCACAATGAACTTGTCCATGCTGACCTTACGGTATCATCTTTGGCTTAAAATCAAGATTTTTTTCAATGGGAAGATGCCACAACCACATCCTTTATTAAGTCGGATTTTACGGATGCTGACTTTTAGTGGTCATTTGTTTAGGTCTTCACCAACATTTCTTATCAGATCGTCGCATTTTTGAAACTCAGAGACAGTTTTGTGGAGTGATAGTTGTCGCAAAACGCTCAACCTGTACCCACATGGACTAGTTTTAGCCTTTCTGCGTGGGTACAAACTCAATGGGAATCACTAAAGCATGGGGACAAGGATAAATGTCATCCAGTACTGCACACAGATCTCAACAAGAACATGGTTCCACGGTATAACAGCACAGACAGTAGCTACATGTTACCATGCCCTCTGGCAGAACTGGTGAAGACCACGTGTGAGTTTTAGCACAGCCGGTCAGATGCTGGTATCTTCTCAAATCAGTCTATCTGCTGCAAGCGGGAACAAGAGATAGCATGCTTTTTACACAGTGGCAGCGGTCCTATTGTGGGAACTCACCGCACGTTCCCAAAGGAGTATATTGGACCAGAATTTTTCTGACCATCTATGTGATGCACAAAATTTGACCATATGTGTACATATTTTGCACTGTGCGAATGCCCTCTAATGCTATACAGTAACCGAGATGAGAATCAATCCAATAGCAACATTTTACCCCGTTCTTTTAGGTTTATTTTGAACAAGTTCGTAACGCTACGGTGCAGCACCATCAGTACATGTGGTTATGTACATGAATATTACAAGCCAGTCTACATGTATATGACGAGTGATATCTGTGTAATGTGTCCGTATTTGGCAGACTTTCTTTCCTCTTTTTGGCTGTACATGTAGAAAGGCTACGAGGTTTTGTTGATGAACACTAACGAGAACTTTGCGACGCTCAGTGATGGACGCAGAGTATCGATTAAGGTAGGAGCCAGCCCGTGCTGCTTCATGCTTGTTCCCTTCCTGAGGGTTTGTGTTGGCCTTACCATGGGGGCCGTGTGGCCAAGTGGTTACTGTTTGTAGCTCCCAGTAGGGTTGCATGAAGGATCTCCAAAAGAACCCATCCTCCAAGGATGTTGTCAGCAGCTACTGTAGATGTCTGAAACACACTTTCTGCCTCCGGAACTTGCTGGCAACTGGTGAAAATCATGGGACCTGCAAAAAGGGCAGAAGTAGCTATTGACCTGTTTTGTTAGCCTCTACAGAGCAAAAGTATTCATTTTGATGAGGCAAAACACTGCTTTTGTCAAAATTTGCGTGCACTCTCTGTAGACAGCAAAATACAGATGTGACACCTTGTCACTAGATGTCAGGGTTGACCCTTCGATTCCATATTTGTCTTTGCAACTTGGAATGATTTCATTAACTCTAGCTCTCTCAGCTCATGAAAGGTATGGCCCGGGCCACTCCTTCTTTACATGGGGCTTGATGCCTATTGGAAGTTGCTAACCATTTTGCTGTTTATCATTCACAAAGGAAAAGAAGTTTTTTTTCAGAGAAATAAAACTTAAAATGGCAGTAAAAGTTAATGGTATTTTTGTCCCTTGCTTCATTCTTTTGGGGAAAACTCTTTTGCATTTATGAATCCTTGATGTTATTATTATTAGACTAGAATGAGCTCGGTAGTGGAGTGACACATGGTAACCTCCACGGGGAATGCAAGAGACCTAACCTCTGGTTTCCCCGTGGATTGTTTTGTTCAGAAACCACCCTTGCAACATCTTGCATTGCTGTTTGAATGCAGGGCAGCTCTAGTCCCAGGGAGCACGGCTTGAATGTGTGGGACAGTTTTGTTGCCGATACCCCGGCTAAGCATGTCGCCATAGTCGCCCACAGCTACGGAGGGGTTGTAACCATCGATTTAGTAAGTTCTCGCATTGATATTTATTTTTTACTATTCACTGTCACTGTGTGTTGAAACCGGAAATGCCAGTTCTAAGATGATTGCATTGCTCACAACCTCTTTCTCTATTGTGGTCTACCTCAACCCCAAATTTCTTCTGCTTAATGCTTTTTTGAAAGTGGTCAGCTGTGTGGCATTGTCTCCCTGCGGGAGTGAAAAATTGGAGCTTTCTTTTTTTAGTACCTTTGGAGCAGCACACAGAGTGTGCTTGTAGGCTTGTTCGTGTTCATCTGGCACAAAGTATGCATCGTTTATTTTGTAAACGTGTAGTGTCTGCGTGTGGTTACCAGGTGCCGGGCACCAGTGGCATTGGACTTTCACCCCCATTTTCTCGCTTTGGCATTGGTGAGGGGCGAATACCTTTTCGCAAAATACGATTCTCCCAAATGCACAACCAAATCTCAAAAGTCAACAAGGTGTTCACTTGGGCTGGATTGATTCATCCTTCCATTTGATTGAATATTCAGATATCTAGTCCTACATGTACATGTATCTCCCCAGATTTTCCCAAGCGGGATGGGGAAAATTGCCAAACAGCTTTTGAAAGACAGTAGCAATTGTAGATAGGAAAATAAATTCAAGATGCAGTCCATTTGTAAAGGTGTTTTTAACATTTGATGTGTGATGTGCGAAAACAGGAGTCAACCTCAATGTAAACATTGGAGATGGGTGGTAAAAAAGGATCTGTTGATATGTGTGAGTAGAAGTCATTTTTGGTTTATTGTTGGGCCAAGAAGAAAGGTTTTAGAACGGAGTTGTTTTCTACCAAAATTTGAATTGTTAGAAAGTTTTTTATCTTATTTCTAAATATTTGTGTCCAAAAACAAACATTCAGATACTTGATGTTTGATCCAATATTCAATCAGCCCCGGTGTTCACCATTGCAAAACAAAGAAGTTATCTGTACATATATGCAGTACATAGAAAGTGATTATGTCACTAGAAATTTTTTTACAAACTTTCCTATGAATTTGGAATCCTTGAACCTCAGCTTTTTGAGTGATCTGACTGTGAAGTTCTGAGACCATTTGAGGCTTGAAGTCACCCTACTCCCTTCCCCCACCACAGCAACCCTGTCTAAATTTGGAAAAGTTGTAGTCTCACACAAACTCACCTCCACAGGTTTTATGGTGTCAGGTGTCGGACCACACTAGTGGAGAGCGGAGCACATGGTTTAGACTTGCGTTTGCAAACACTGTATTTCTAATAACGGTCTCTTCATGACGTGGTTGTTCTTCAGAACGGTGATCACTGGACTTTTCTCCAATAGAGCACCAGTCTGGCAACAAGTCCCACTTCATACACTTGTTTCCCGGATTCTGGAGTCTGGATTTCACAAACTCTGCAAGAAATTACATGCAAGAAATTTGAACTCTCTCGAATTTCAGAATATTCTTGGACAAAGACAAGGCCCCACACAGGTCACAGAGCCAGTAATCTCTCTGTGATGATATTTCCATTGTAAAGCTGTGACATTTTTTTTGGTTGACAGGCTGCTCACAGGACGGAGAGTTTCAGGAGGAAGGTTTTCGCTGTGGCGTTCACGGATTCTGTCCACTCTCTTCACTATGGCATAGATGATGATCTCTTCAACTGGTTTACCAAGGTCGGGCCTTCAACATTCTCAAATCCAGCAAAATCCTGAGCTTTTGTTACCATTAGTGGCACTGTTCCAATCCTGTGGCTAAATACCGACATCTTAAATACCAACTTCAGTTGGTCAAACTTTGTGTTTTTATCTCGTGTGTCTTTCAGAACACAGTCAATTGGGTGTCGTCTCGTGAAGAAGTTGGGACTGTGATTGACGATAGAGGTTATGACTGCCCGAGAGTATCAGCAGGTAGAAAAATGTCATTTTATTATGTGATTTGCCCCGCAAAATATTTATGCTTGGTGTCTCTATACCTTGCTCATTTTTATGCAACCCTAAAGGTTTTTTTCATTTTGGGGGGGAAAATCTTGGGAAACGTGGAATTGGAAATAAAAATGCAAATGTGTCCATTTTATTTCACAGATGTTTTAGTTTGAATATGGTGCAAGAACAGTCAATGGACTTATTTATGCCTGCAACTTGTACCATTTGAAGTGTTAATCATTTCATTTGAAACAACTGCCACCCGACCAACAGACATCACATAAAAAGTCTGGTCTCGCAGTGCCCCTAATCAGCCCTCATTGGTTGTTGAAGTCACTGGTGGCCATCTTACCATGCCAATTACAAAGGCCACACTAAGGCATGCCTGCCATTGTAAGCAAATCGTTCATGGCAACAATAGTGGCAATGATGGCGCGGTAAGAGGGATGCCAGTGGCTTCAATTAATGAACATTGCGAATCCAAATTTTTGGATTTTTGGACGTCTCAGACTTGACCTCTTTTCCGGTTATTTGTTATCAATTGACGCTTAGCTGCATATTAAATCAGCGTAATACAAGGGGAAAACAATTCCCAACTAATGGTACCTACCTTCTTTGCCGATGCTGCGTAATGGGACGCAGAACGTTGTTTGCCTGTCCCACTGCATTGGATTGAATGCTCCCGATTTCACTTTAAAAGTTTGAAATGAAACTTGGAGCTACAAGTCCTAAGTTGTCAAGCAACTTTGTAGTTCGCTGTCAGTTACAGTTATCGTTAGGCTTATCTGTTTGAAAAGTGTAAAAAATGTCAGTGAAACCAAAAAAGAAATCACACAAAACACTGACATACAAAAGCCAATGAATGTTGGAAATGAAAGGACTCAAAGGAGTAGCAATTTAAAGGTTTTAGCCAATACGGACGATTCACAATAGTGCGCCTCCAAGCGTTTGCAACACGTTTGCCAAGTGCAACGCTCAAAATTTGTTGACCCTTTCCAAACCTGCATTCGGTCGACAAATTTCGTGCATTGTGATTGGCCAACGCATTGCAAACTCTTGGTGGCGCACTATTGTGAAACACCCGTATTAGAAAGTTGCACATCCTAAATATTTTCCTAGTTTTTTTTGGTGGCTTGCAAGAATACAGATAATTGCTACCGGGTATGTGCAGTATATCACACACAGCGTATTGAGGAAAGTCATTAATCCACGCTGAGCTTGGGGCAAATGATTTGAATCAGTTGAAGATGGCCTCAAAGTGTAGCGTCCAGTGCAAAATGATTACGATATTCAACATTTATGTATCTCAGGTGATGATGCCTGGGTTACAGAAATTACAGTAGGACAATGTACATGTATGTATATTGCTAGACATATATGTCTGCCTTGATTATTTCATTTCACTGACTCATCACGCTGGTTCACGCAGGTTCTGGTTCACGCTGGTTCTGGTTCACGCTGGTTCTGGTTCACGCAGGTTCTGGTTCACGCAGGTTCTGGTTCACGCAGGTTCTGGTTCACGCAGGTTCTGGTTCACGCTGGTTCTGGTTCACGCAGGTTCTGGTTCACGCAGGTTCTGGTTCACGCAGGTTCTAGTTCACGCTGGTTCTGGTTCACGCAGGTTCTGGTTCACGCAGGTTCTGGTTCACGCTGGTTCTGGTTCACGTGCTGGTTCTCCCGCTAATGCCTTTGACACACATAATTTTGTGTGTGACGTATTCACGTTGGTGCACTATAATCATTGACTCTAACTCGGAGCAACAATTACACATCTTGACAATGTACATGTTTATTAGAAACAAATTTGTTCTTACTGGCAGGCACATTGAGGCACGAGGAAACCTCCTGGTACAGCTACGACTCCATCTTTGAATTTCTGAGCAGCAAAGAGCAGGAGCTGAAGAATTTTGTGGGAGAGAGCTCTGTTGCACGTGACGCATCTGACGCAGCAGGCGAAGACGCCAGAAAATCCGAGGACACTCCAGGAAGGGAGGACGGAGACATTGAGGACACGCTGGGGTCCCAGGAGACTGAACCACAGCAAGCCCAGCATCAGGAGAATGGCGGGCAGGAGACGGAAATTGGAGGACGCGAGACCGAGTTATGATGCGCTTGTCAGGACATGAGACAGAGTTGGTTTGCATGTGAGGGCACACAGTGGGTAATGGGGACCTTGCCTGACAACTGTTTACAAGGATTTGAACCATTCTTGTGACACTGTCAGGTGGGCAGGAGACATTCAGCGACATTTATGGGAAATAAAAAATGTTCCTGTGCCACGTTTTTCTTTTCTTCTTTACAACTTCCTTCTGACATGAATTTTAATCACTGTGTGATCAAAATGAGGTTTTCCTAAAACTGGAAGGGGCCTGCCGAGACTGATTTGCAATCAGCACGTGGAGCAAGCAGGCTGCCTTTTTTTGCTGAAGATTTTAAATACAAGAAATTGATGGTGGTGGCTATCTTAGAAAGAATATTGGATGTGCACCACATGTTCAGTGATGGGGAATATATTACTTGTATCTTGCCTAAAGGAGAAGGGGACGCATTTCATGGGTGTCTGTTATGACAGACTGGACATGACATAGTGCCTATCATCAATTATCTGAACTACAAGTATTTATATAAAAAGCTGTATGACGGCTATAAGTAGATGGAAGTTACTCGTACGCAAATGCATTAAAAAATACCTACAAGTGGACATGATCGTTGATGTTCGACAAACGTGGTGTCACAGTGATACAGGCAGTTTTTTTGAATTAGAGCTTGAAGTTATGTGCCTAGAATGTTGTATTTCAGAGAGCAAGTCATGCAGCCTCGTTGTTGCATACACGTATTTTGCACGTTATATTTCTAATGATGGCATAAAAGCTGGTCCAGAATTCAACGGCGAAGTGAATTTGATGTCCCAAAACGTTCCCAGGGAAATGCAGTACAGTCACACTGTGGTCAACTTTCGCATATTGGCAGCGTGAATGTTATCAGACAGCACAAAATCACATTTGTGTTCAATTCCATGCCGAAGTGGCCTTTTAACTCATTGGGTTTATCGCTCTAAGCCCTCAAGTTGGATGTGGTCACTCCAGGATTTTTATTAAACAAAAAGCCTAAATGTCTTGATGGACAAGCAAATGAAAAAAACGTGAACAACTGGAATTGCAAATGTCAACCTTTGTTTTGTTTGCTAATTCCAACGGTAATTTCTGTGAAGAAGTAGATAATACTTAAGCACTGCTTGCCTCATGTTGTTTAATCACGCATTTCACGCAAAATGACTACAAGTTTAGTTGACAGCTATGACCTCTTTGAACATTTTTGAGCATGGCTGCTCGTCTATGTAACAGGTACTTGGATCATGTTACACCATAGGGCAGACATTTTGCTCGTCTTTAAATGGTGTACGATTAAATCTATTCAGACAGATTTTTGTAAACAAAATAGAATAGTGCACAGGACTCCTCAGTATCAGATTAGTTGCAAGAATGGTAGGAAAAAATAAACGGTTGCTTCAAAAGTGGTTAAATACTGAAGTGCAGTGAGGGAACAGTTGGATTTAATACAAATTGAAAACAACTTGAGATCTGTTTCCGTGTACATAAAAATAACCCCTTCCCAGCATATAAAAAGGAATACCCATACATTGCAAGCATAAAACCACAAAAACTTTGAGAACCCTGGAGATAGAGACTGTCTGGTATAAAAGAGAAGGCATTTTATTTGATGATTGGACGGATGGACTTGGGTTCTGTATAAGAATGATTGAAAAAAAAGAACACACAGAAGAAATGTTGCAACATCACTTACCTTAATCAGTAAACAACTTTCTTTCATCTACATCTACGGGAAGTTTTCCAATTACATGTGCGACACTTGGACAGGTTCAGAGATTTCAAATAAGCATTTTCTGGGTTTAATGAAGAGTTTGCTGTCCCCAAGACATGGTTTGTAATTTTAATGCCTGATAAAAGTCCACTTTTCGCCTACCCACTAGTAATACATGTACTACAAACATAATGATGTTTTAAAGAGTAAAAAATATGTCTCTCTGTTGACGTTATGAAAAAAATATATTGTAATGTTATGGAAAATTGGAAGTTGGAACACAGTTTTGACATATTTAATGCATAGGATTGTTTTGCATAGAAAATGATGGAAAACTCACGTACATTGAAACTGAATGACTACATTCACACATTTCTGAAGCTACTCTTCAAACTGATTAGTTGCGTTCGTGGCGCATGTTCAAATGAGTGCGCTTGTCCAATACTGCATTACAAAAACCTGAATTTGAGTCATTATGATGAAAAATGGAAACAAAAAATATATATACACATATGAACAAGATCTTGTATGAAAAATTACTCAGATCAAAATACCAAATGAGTCACAAGGTCTATGAATATAAAAAATATTTAAAATTCAAAATAAAATACAGGACACTTCTGTTTGCTAAAGTGCAGTGTCATAGAAAGTTAGATAAGCTGGTTGGTAATTTTATTTCAGCAGTGGAGTTCAAACGTAACTGGATCAGTCGCTTCTGAACAATATAACCCAGAGAAACAATTTGTCTAGTTTGAGGGAGCATTTTACTCGGGACCATCACAAGACCAGACCCAAGTGATGAGATGAACCGTGACAGAGGAATGCTTGTCATGCAATTCATTTGTATAGCGTGTGACTTTGAATTCAGACAGCATGCGAGTCATGGACTTGCTGCCGGGGTCTTGCTGTGGTCGTAATGGGGGTCTCGACTACAAAAGTAGACGTTGAATGTAGACCTCCCCCGTGGAATTCACTTCAAACTGGACTGTAAACTGGACGGAGGACATTACAGAAGAAGCTAAGAATTTTTCCAAGCTGACTCTCATGGTATTTCTCTACAGACATCCCTGAATTCACACAAAAGTGGAGAAAACAGTAAAGCAAAACCAAAACAAACTGGCATCTAGAAACAGGGTAGGTACATGAAAGTAGGTAGATAGGCATGTTTGAATTCGTATTTATATAGTGATTCAGTAAACAGTATAGTGTTAACTCAAAAAAATAACAGGCATTTGTATCAATTGAAATAAACCACACCAGGTTACTCGTTTTATGCATAACGTTTGAAAAAGATTGTTTTTTTTTTCTGTATTTGCAATTACACGTTCTCCCCTATTTTCCTTCCCCCTGGCCCCCCCCCCCAAAAAAAACCACTTAGGGATCCCGCAGTCAAAATAGGGCAGGTCGGAAAACAGAAAGCATAATTACTCTTTCTGGCCTTAATCAAGGCATCTTATTTAAAATGTCATTTAAACCAACTGGACGGAGAAGAATTAATCATGTAATAAATATACATTTCATGTAATACACAAAACCACTCGACTTACATGTATTTATTTTCACTAAAATGAATTTTTTTTTTAAACATCACAGAATTTCAAAACCCCAATAAAATGAAATTGACAAAATAAAAAATTCGAGAGTAATAGTGTTGGGGTTTTAAAAATGAATGAAACCTTCACATGGCATTCATGCAGTATTATCTAGGGGCTGTTCCGTTTTGATACAGATACGATGTGGAAAATGTGTCTATTCCCTGAAAGCACACAAGGGAAATGGAGAATCAACCAACAGAGGGCAAATAGTTATTCAGCAATTTGGTCCAAGAATGGCTTAGCGCATCAACTGGTTCTCCACGTGCTGTAGGCTCCCCACACTCACACCGGATGAGCCACATCAGACGGACTGCAGTCAAATGACAATTGAAGAGAGAGAGAGCTGTTTTTACGGGATATATTCAGTGATTTTTCACTTGAGGCATTTTCCAGTCAGGACCTTGTCAAAAAGGAAATCTCAGATCTGCCATTTGATCTAAACAGGTCACTCAAAAGAGAACTCACACTTAAACTCAGACTCACCAGAGTGACCTTCTCAGCTTGTGTTTTACAATTTACTCTCTGTCAAGGAGTTGCAAACTCTAGGTGACAGGGTCCAGATGTGAGTTTTGGGTCGACATGATTACACTGTCTTTTTTGGGGGGGGGCCTCATCACACCTTCCCAATCTCCTTTGCCATTACAATACAAATCCAAATCTAGGTGTTTACCAAGATGATCAAATCAGTTTATTCGTTTTGGACAAGCAATTAACGGAAAGCTTTTCATTTGAAAGACTTGGCGCTAGCCCCTGCATTGTGAGTTTCTGCAACAAATTATTTCCCAGCAGATACTACTAGGCTGTGTCCAGTTTTCACAAATCATGACTTCCTAACAACTTCCTTGCAATATGCAAATGAACCGCAAGGAACATACGAACAATTCAAGGTTTTGTTTAGAAACGGGGGCTTTGCAATTTGTTTTTATGTCGTATGAAGATTAGAAATCTACGACTTATGGAAAACTCCAGCATAAATGTTACGTTGAGATTATGAAAACTGATGCATTCAGAGTCCGAGCAGAAAAGATGCGAAAAAATAGGGAAAAGTTTCCATTTTATTCTAAAAGACAAAATGAGGTTTTCTGGACTTGTTCAGGACTCTCGAGACCATAAGCACTTTTTTTAAGGACTAAAGAAGTTCCAGACCTTTCTAGATTTCCAGGACTGATGTGAACCTTGCGACTAGTACATTAAAGCCAACCATATTCTCACCTATCGTCTTTCGTCCCAACAACTAGGGGTTTATCAAACTTCCTGCTGGATGGTAGGACGAAACGAGCCTGTTTCTTAGGCTGATCCCCCGAGGCTCCAGGTTCTTTCTTCTCCAGGATTCCCTTGACTGGCTTGACCTGACTGGAGCTCTTCAGGGCCTGGAGTCGAGCCTCCATGGCATTCAGGGAGGCCCGGCGGTTCTGGTCGTACCGGCCAGCCTCTGGCAGGCCACGGATTGAGGCCCCACTGGCCTCGAACGAGGGGCCATCCTGCGATCCCTTCCTGGAGTCTGGGGAGGTGTCCGCTGAGGTGCGCTTAGCGGCGGCATCTGCGGCCGTTTTGTTGGACAGCCTTTTCAGGGCGGCGGCCAGCTCCAAGGGGTTGGCCACCTTCTTTGGCACCGGGGAGGCACCGCGGGGAGATGGGGAACCAGACCCAGAGCCAGGCCTCTTGGATTCTTTTGGGGTTTGTTGTGTGACCGGTATCTCCTCCTTCACCGGCGATTTCTTGGCTGCTTCCTTGGGTTTCTGTTGGCTGTGCATTGATGCTAGGGATTACACTCAAGGTTAGATCCACTCATTAAACAACACTCCTGCAATCTATGTATCTTTTATAATGTATTCAAATAAACCTTAAATTCATGGCAGTAAAAGTGTGAACTTCCAAATTTCAAGGAGCTGCTGCATATACAGACTGTCCAATATTTGACCGAGAAAATTGGTACTCGGAAAGTACCGGTACTCGACTCCAACACTACCCCACCAAGCTCTCTGGCCAACATGCCCTACCTCTTCTTGGCATCGTGCTGCTGTATGTTGAGCAGCCCTTCCAGGTTCTCCACCTCCTGGTGGAGTTCCTCGTTCTCTTCCTCCAGGCTCTCCTTCTCGCCAAGTACCTCCTCGTACTGGGCCTCTAGGCGCTTACACTTGGTGCACTGGGCTCCCGCTACGAAGAACAAAACAGGAAACGAGAACTACGGAAGTGACGGGCCTGTTTGCTTCACGCGGATCCGGATCGGGATCAATGGTCCGTCGTTGGTTCACGGATGCCAAAACCCACCTAATGGATAGTGCAAACCAGCACTGGGATTGCTAATCAAGATCCGTGTGAAACAGAACAGGTCCTAAGTCATAAGCACGGGCATGCTGGGAGTCATTTGAAATATCAAGAAAAAGGGCAGAGATGAGACTAACACAACTGGAAATTTAACCAAATCAAAATCAGTGTTGGAAATAACTATCGTCCTTTTCATGCATCTTGATTACCCAGGAAAGCAATGTAAATTTTAACTGCATCCTTTGTTTTCATGACAACTTTGAGCCCCATAGAAATTACGTTAAAACAACCCAGGGCAAAAGTAAAAAAAGGAGACCAATTTAACTTGAATTACAAATGCTACAATTGTCAACCAGACATGCAATGGCAACGGCATGCGGCTTGCTGATGTGGTTTCCCATTTTTTTCCTTAGTTTTCAAGAACAGACATGACAGATCGCTTTTAGGGGAGTAAATAATCCTGACTACACATAACATTAAACAATAAGCATGTCCAATTTCTAGCATTTTATGGGAGTTTAAGCTGTATGCTTTCATGCAACGTGCTTTGTAATCTCTCTTTACGCTAACCTCCATGAATTCTCCATTTAATGAAATGACCAACATCACGCAATATTCTTGACAGGTAAAATTTTGTGCCGAATGGTGGTATTTGTCTTTGTGAAAACACCGGCGATATATGTATCCCATAATTCACCTGTTTCCTTCAGTGTTTCCATCTCCTTCTTCTGGAGCTTCTCCGCCTCCTCCAGCTTCTTGTTCCGCCCCCGGTAGGTCTCCACGCTCTCCTGCAGGGTGTCTCTCGTCTGCTCCAGCTTCTTGTTGCGATTCTGGAGATCGGTGACCAAGCGGTTCAGGGCATGTAGCTCCTCCTCCTGACCCTGGATCTTGCTCTCTAACCTTTGACCCCGAAGGATGACCAGCAATGAAATTCAAGTACAGCTTATACATGCACATATTCATGATCTGCCTAGGCACTCATTGGTCAAGGCATGGTGCACAGGGAAACAAAAATTTCCTAAAGAGACCTAAGTACTTTACATGCTTCACACACTCGTAGGCATTGTCCAGCATAAATTTATTCATTGACATTGGAAGACTGAATTGGGAGGGTCAATTCTGAAGCCTTTTCAAGAAACATGCCAAATGAGGCTTTTTCCAACACCATATGATCCCTCGTTCTTGCTTTAACCAATCCAAATCCTTTCACATCAAAGTTTTGCAGTATGCTGGTGGATACAAGACTGTATAGCTACATGTAGTGGGAGACTTCAAGAAACATGGTGACAAAAAACATACCAGGCCCAGGTGACTGGCCAACTTTGGTTTGCTCAAAAAGATGCAAACAGAAGTGGACTGGTCCTGGGGACTGGTGCGCTTGCTGCTACAAAGCATCTAGTCTCCCATTGCGCCACGATCACATTACATAGGGTTTCAATGCTTCACTTTCAGTACAAATGTTGCAGTTTTGAATTCTGTGTGGTTTGGGAACTTTCCTAACACAAAGGTCTTGGGGAGTTGGATTTCAGTGATAATCAAATCTTCAACGACATGTTACCATGTACAGATCATTCACTTCTGAATGCATTGTCTCTTTGAGTGATAAACGATTGTAGTTATGAGGTTAGCACTGCCCAGGGTATCAAAGAGCTTTTAACTACAAAATTTGAGCAGAAAAAGACAAAGAGGCTAATAGAAGGAGGTTGTGTAATCATAATGCTTTCATCATACACGTTGACAGAATTCACTCGTGAGTCCATGAATGTGAATATTCTATTTTCATTGTTAATACCTTGATAAGACACTGTACATCAAACACTTTGAAGCTGAACTATTGACCTGATCTGATCTGTGACTAGCTGAGTTCTGGGGCACGTTCAATATATGGAATTGCAATATGTATGGGAGTATTGGCATTGGCATACCTTGCATATCATATTGTCTCTTTACTATGTACATGTAGCTACTGAGCATGCCCCAGACTGACATATGATTGGGGGAACAAATTAACATATCTGCTTGTGGTGACAAAATCCTAACTTGTGTGTTTTTGAAAGGGCCAAAATAATGATATCACAGGGCCAAAACAAGTATATCACACAGATATTTGTACTGATTTTACAATGTAACTCACCTTTTGGAATATTCGTCCCGATCCCCTTGCTGTAAAACAAGAGAAATCAGCAGGGAACATGATTTGGATTATGCACCAAAGATTGACTTTTACTTGGCTAGAAATAGGATACTTTTGCTCAGTTGATACTGTTCTTTACCCTTAAATACATCTATCTAAAAAAAAGATGACAGCTGCACTTTTGGAATTTTGCCTTTATGAAGCATGACATCATGAAGATTGCTTTAAAAAATTCATGGAAACTCCACGGAATGGAAATAAAGAGATGGCGATTGTAAATGAGACACACAGATGCATGTCAAGGATTCAAGTAAAAAAAAACAAACATCAAAATGACACAACCTTTGCACAGCCCTCTGACATTTGTCCAAATGTGGTCAACATCGGCCCACGGATAGATATTGGCCAACACTATGCTTTTCAGAGATTACATATTCCCCTCTCCACAGTCATTACTCTCACAGCAAAATTTTTTGTTAGAACTCTGTTCTAATGAAAGCTGCTAAGTCATCTGCTTATTTCAACTAAAATATCAGAAAGCAAACCACGAATATTAAAGAACATCAAAACAGGATTTATTGTGACCAATGACCTCCATAGCACCTGGACTAGACTGATTACCCAAGCCTCCTTGAAGGAACATTTCGGCCAGTTTTGTTCCTGTAAACTGCTATTTTTCACATATTAAACAAAACTCATGCACAATGCTCCATTCCTTATAAAACTCTTTTTTAAATATCGTCTGTAAGAGTTATTAAACATTATTAAACTCTTTGTGTTGCCCAACTCTGTTGAAAAATATGGGACCACAAATCATACTGATCGTGCGTCACAGGGAAACAAAGATGGAGATTGTTTCAGTTGGGTCGACATCTTTCCAAAGTCCAGTTGGTACAGAGGCCAGAGATTCAAACTACTTGTCAACATACATACCACGCTCGTGTCAGTAGACTATGAAGGACAGGGATGTTTTATGGTTGAGAAGGATTGGAAATGATGGTGTTGATGGTTAGATGGTGAAACATGCAAAAAAAAAACCACAACATTCACAAGAATAACACGTGCATTTGTCAATTTCAAATCTTGGATTCATGCAGACGATTGCGACTCGGCCCAACAGAAAAACAGATGGCCACGACTCTCCAGGCACGTAAGAGAAGTCGGGCAAATATCCAGCATTCAGTGGAAGGTCAACCTGAGCTATGGTATAGAAAAAAAGCCAAGTGTTGTCTTTCCTGAACACTTGACACATTATGACAAATGTAACCGGATCCACCAAAAAATGACTACTGAAGACATGTTTTTTGCACAAATTTCTCACTGGCAAATTAAACATAATACAATGCAATACAAAAAGAGATGGAAACTTTTCACTTGAGGGGCCATTCATTTTTTCCCCCCGTTTCACGAGAGTACAGATTTTTTCACTGGGTGGGGTGGGGGTATAGCCCGCATACGCTTTCATAAACTTGGGAAAGGGTTGATCGGCCATCCACTTTTTTGTGCGTGTAAGGTTTTGCGGGAGGATATTTTGTACGATCATTAAAAGGATGACAAGACTGGATAATCCCACTCTGCCCGTACATGCACCGTTGAACAAAGCGACTATTAGAAGCACATGTACATGAAAATGCATGTATACGAAAACGCTGAATGTTCATATTGACTTTCGCACTGCGAAGCTTTTTGAAGGCTTTCACATGTATATGCATGTGCAATAAAAGAGGTCTAGGATCTTTCAAGTCATTCTCTTGGGATGAGTCACATATCTGAAAAATAGTCACTTTGATGACTAGTAGCAATCATCAATAAGCATGCACACAACTACAACGTCAATTTCACACATAAGGGCAATCAGTGTGTGTAAAAGGGTTATTTGAGGAAAAATGATGCTGAAGTGTGGTCTACAAATTGACTGCAGTGCCAACCAACAAAGGCAGCCATGTTGGCAAGAATGCTTTCTAGCCAAAGGATTACTTCTATTTCTGAAAACGGTTAGATTTCTCTATGTTATTAAAAGATTTCAAGTCTTTCTGGTTATGTCTTTCAAGATTATTAAGTCTCTATGAAAAAAAACTGAATCTCTAAACATCTACATCAGCCAGACAGTTTCAAGCAAATGAAGGAAGAGAAATAAATGTACTGTATGTGAATACTGCAGTTAAGCTGGAAGATATGAACTCATTTCATTATGGCTATATCACAAGAGTGGGTCGAGATTTATACGGCAACGACATGTAGTTGAGTTTGACTTGAACATGGCTTACACAAGTGCCCTGTACATGTATATGAAAGTGAAAAAAATGGTCCATTTTATTTGGAAAAGCTGCCCTTGTGTCACATCTTTTTTGAGTGTGCGTGATACGTAACACATCAACCAAGAGTGGAACGATTTGATTTCTTTCAAAAACTGGCAAACTTCTTGGACATTCAGAAAGCTACTGCCAACTGCCACAAGAAGTCCCACTTGACAGAGAGGATTTCCAGAAGACTTGAGCGGCTGGTTTGTGCAACGCTACTCTTGTCTGTGACACTTGGCAGTTTTGGCATGCTATCGCACAATGGAGAACATCCACTTGGGCCTTTGGCTGGGCTTCACTTGATGGCAGAGGGCAGTGTTCTAGCTAGGACCATTTTAGTGCTGGGTAAATTTTTGGATTATCAAGCATAGTGAGCACAGTGAGCGGAACTCTCACAGCCCATAGCTGGGATTTTAGGGGAATACCAGAGGGGATTTCTCCCTACGTTATCGTGAAGGCATGTTAACAATAATGCTTTTGCAATCAGCCTCTGATTTGTGAGAAATACATTTCTTAGGTCTTTACTTACTTGTTTAAAATTGTAAAATAGTGCAAAACTGTAACTTTTAAGCTTGAAATATGATCAAATTGGTACATTTTTCAGAAATATTTCAGTTAATTTTTTGGAAAATCCGTGCTGGGCGGCACAGCCAATTTGAACCCAAGAGCCAGGCGAAAATTTACAGTACCGGGTGGTGCTGCCCGGCGCTGCCCACCGTGGCTAGAACGCTGGCAGAGGGTAAATTTTGTGCTTGAAGCGAGGACGCACCCCTGCGAAGAAGTGGTTAAGTGCACGCCAGCAAACCTACCTGGCCCTCTAGGGCTTTGCACTTCTCTCTCAAGAGCTCCACTTCGGTCTTCTGCTGGTCCATCTTGCGGTTCAGGTCTCTGATAGTGTCCATGCTGAGACACGAACAAATTATGACACCAATTTATCAAAACACGTAAAAAGAAATTCACTTAACACAAATATCCTCACAGATAAAAGATCTTATAGACTAATCCAATAAGACTCAGACACAGGGAGAAATACAGTCTGTTCTGAAGACCAGAAATGGAAACCATTCACTGGGGTGATGTCTGCCCCATGCACAGGTTGTCTGGTTCAATGCCTCTCTTTGTGTTGGTAGGAGAGAATATGAGAATGTGGGTTTCTTACGAATGACAACCCTTTGGTGGAAAACATGGTGGGTGAACCGGTGCATGTGCCTTATGGTGCGTGCTGAGCATGCGCGACCCATTTCTGTTGAAGTGTAAGGTCTTTGAGTGTACACAGGTTGAAATATTTCCCCTAAGTTGAAAGGAATTACTTTAAAAATGGCCATATATTTGAATAATGCATGCAGGTGGACTCACTTCTCGTCAAGTTCAGCCTCAAGTTTTCTTCTCATTTCTGCTTTGTCTCTCTGGAGTTCCTCTCTCTGCAAAATCACAACGCAGCACGATTATTCCACAACTAAAACTTGACCTGTTCCCCTCCCTCCCATAAAAATGAAAAAGGCACAATTACAGATCCTACTATCACTGGACAGAGTGGAAAAGAGTCTTTGAAAGTATTGAAGTGTCCCGTAATGTTTTGTTCATGGGATATTGAAGAAAGACGACTTCTCGTGAATATCACAGTCGGCCAGAAATGCTTTAACCTTCTTGAGCCCCTCTTGTCTTCCACTGTGCAGGAAATCAAAGGAATAACTTTGAGGGAATGAACCTTTTGTGAGTTAGATTTGAATAAAATCTGGTGCACTGAGTTTATCTGATTGCACATAAACATAAGGATTTGAATTCCCCAGACTAAATACATGCAAAATGTTGCTATACCTCGTGATTCAGGCCAAGCTTTCGCGTATATAGCGACCACCATCTCTGGAATGGACTGGTTCCCTTGTGCAAGTCTTATCCACTGAAAACATATTGGTGCAAGGCATTTCATATATAACCAAGCAAAAGCTTGCCCCAAACCATAAGGTAGAGCAGCAGTGTCTTTAGTATGGAGAATTCAAACTGTTATGTTAATGCAAATTTAAAGTACTCAGTGTACCAGATTTAATTCAATTTTGACTCGCAAAAGGCTTATTGAAAGTTTCCATTTTTCTCCTCAGATTTTGAGGACAGCAGGTTCTACTGCACTTCCACTTGGGCATCTTGATACCTGCTCCTTGTGGTCTGTGACCCGTGCTGTGAAAAAGACTCTTTGGGCCGTTTTTTTGTGTAATATTTCTCTGTTTTTTTTAATACTGTTTCAGTGTGCACTAGAACAACCTGAGCTTTTTGTGAAAATCAAATTGAGTAGTGCAATACTCAGTTTGGCATCCTGCTAAAGCTGGACAGTCTGAGGGTGGAATCAGCTTCTACTGATTTCTTTATTCTGCAAGAGTTTTTCTTGAGACAGCCACTCGCATATGGCAGTGGTGACTTATGACACATTTTCACAGGGCAGGTCACATTTTTCAGGGGTCTGGTTCCAAAACTACCCTAAAGGCAGACACCCACAGGAACATGGGGGGCAAGTGCCCTAGCGGTATGGGTTTGCCAATCCAGATTGAAATGTTACTTTATCTTCACTGACCTCTCTCCACCCAGGAGTGTCAATGAATAACTATGAAGGTAGAGAGGGTTATCTGTTGTTTATTATTAGACCTGGTAGCACCTGAAATGGCTGAAATGACGATTGTATACGTCCTGGAGAGTTGGCATGGTTCACAGGAACGTTTCTGAGCCCAGTGAGCAGGGATAACACAGCATAAAGCACACTGAGTTTTGGTCAGTGCTGAAATGTGGTATCTCAATACGCCATAACATGATCAAAGAAAACAAGAAAAGACTGCACAATCACTATAACCCTTGCTCTTGTTGACACTCCAATGCACTCTACTATTCCAATGAGAAAAAGGGGCTATGGCCCTCCACAAGGCCACACCACTTCAGTGGAGAAACTGCATACACTTCAAGGAATTACGGTAAACTGGGGGTCAAATTGGTCCAGTACCCAGTGTACTACAGTGATAAGCAAAGCCAAATGCCACAATCCTCTGGAGTACACTGGAGTTTACTTCTACTGGCCGGGCAGTAAAACCACTCCACTGGTAATGCAAAGAATCCTCCAATGCACGCCGGCTGAAGTGCATTGGCAGGTGCTACTGACTTGCAGTAAGTTGCTGTCACACAGCAAGGGATAAAACAGAGTTACTGAAACACGGCTAAAGGAAATGTTTGTAGTCTGATCCCACCTTGGACTCCAAGTCCTTGAGCCGGCTGTTCTGCTCGTCAATTTGTGACTGTTTGATGTCAATCATGCCGTTGACGCGTTGCAGGTCTCCCTTCACTGAGGCCAGCTCCTCCTCCACAGCATTCATAGATTGCTGAAAGCGTCAAGTTACAATATCACGTACATGTATCTGAATGATTATATACAGTAAGGTCACTCCTTTTTATCCATGAATTAACAGGACAAACTGTTCAAAATGCCGAGACATTTCTCACCACCGGCTCTTCTTAAGAGCCACTACTTTCTTACAGCGATGCGACTGCTTTTGTGGCATACCCACAGACACATCTCTCTGTGCGACGATTCTACAGGGTTTTTTTTTCAATTTTATTACTGTTTTCCTGGGAAGATGGTCCTAAAAAATGAAATCTAGCTTAACTCGAATTCTGCTGAACAGACAATTAACCCTGAGTTAGCTTTCAACATCAGCTGCTTAAAGTAAAATACTTACTTTCAATTATACTGAAACGAGATCTTCAAAAAGAACACTGGCGAACTCTCTTTCAAGAACAGAAACCATAATGGTGAAACTGTAAGTCTTGCCTTTCGGTTGCCCAAATGATACACTGATCCAATGTAAGGTCTATTTCCCAGTAAGCAAGGACTGAGCACAAGGGTAGATTTTACAGAGCACTTTACCTTCATAAGTCTTGGCTTCCTGTGCTTTTCATCCTCTAGCTCCTCCTCTAAGGCCATGATGATGCCTTCCTTCTTCTCAATCTGTTTGGTAAGCTCTGACTCCCGCCTTGCCAGCTCATTCCTCAAGTCTGTCACCTCTTTCTCCTTGCTGTCCTTGTAGCGTGACAGCTCCCTGGACGTGTCCATCAGCTGCTCCTCCAAGCCTGCCACCTCTGACCCCTTCTGCGACAGCAGCCTCTGAATCTCCGACTCCTTCCTCATCAGCTCATCTTGGAGGTCTGTCACCTCCCGTTCCCGGCCCTCTTTTAGCCGGGCCGTCTCCCGGGCTGCCTCGCTCAGCCTCTCCTTCAAGTTCTCGGTGTCCGCCTCCTGGCAGTCACGCAGCCTCCGGAGCTGCTCCCGTAGGGCGTTGAGCTCCTCCCGCAGGGCTATAATCTCCTCCTCCTGTCGCTTGTTGGCACTGCTCAGCTGCTCCACTCGGTGGGCGTGCTCATCCCGGATCTGCTCCAGCTCCAAGTCCTGGCGGGTCTTGGCCTGGAGGAGCTCACGAAAGTCTCTGCTCTTGGCCTGGAGTTCCTGTCGAAGGTCCCCCAGCTCGTTCTCCTTCTTGAGGATGAGGCCCTGCAGCTCCTTCACCTGTTTCAGGGTGTCTTCTTGGGCACTTTCCAGCTCTGTGGTTTGTTGGAGACGCAGATAAACCAGCTCACTGTCTTTCTCAAGTAATTTTTCCTGGAAAAACAAATTTTGCCACACAAATCCTTGTTAACGGTGGCGAATCTCACCCATTTCCACACAGTTAAACATAATTTCCTCCGAGAAAGGAAACACTATAGCAATGAAGAGCTAATGATGAGCAGGTAACACACAAGAATTGATCAATCTCCACTGCCGACATAAAAACTCTGATTTCCACTGTTACCTGCATGTTCCTGAGGTCGTTTTCCAGTTTCTTGGCATTTCTATCGGCCTGGATGAACTCAGCGTGCAGCTCTGCTATCTTGGTATCCTTGTCCTCCAAGATGCGAGGTTTTTCCTCTCGCAGCTGATCAATGACAGACCGCTGCTCATCAACCTTTTTGACAACAACACACAGGCATGACCAGTGACAGGGCAGATTACAAAACAAGCACACGCGAGGTGGCAGATTACGGCAGATATTACAATTCCTAATGCAAACTTAGTTGATTATGCATTCCAGCCACGAGCTGTGCATCCAACAACGTGCCTAGGTCTTCAAATATGTAAAGTTGGCACATACCTTGGAAGAAGTTTCTTTTCTTACACAGCAGTCTATCCAGGATCCCCTCAACTTGATCTTAAGGGCTAGTTTTGCTTTACCTCCATCTAGTCTCATCAACTCACATTAATTATTGGACTTGTACATTAGCCATGAATATTTGTAAGTGCAATGTTCAGAATTATTTTATGATGTGAGAGATTCAAGGTTATATTCCATGAGTGGAACTGAACATTCAATCTGTCACCACATAACATAATTCTTTCCACTGCATGAATATGAATCATTATGTTTGTTTCCTACAACATCCTCTTTGAGTGCATATTGCTGCTTTACTTTCTCAGCTTGGCGTGAAAGAATGACATCAGGTTTTGATGTTTCAACCCACAACTGATACACTGTATCTTGTCTGCGATGTGATCTGCGAAAACCCTTCACATGGTGAGCTTTTTCATTTTGGCGCGTATCAGCTTCCAATTGATATGGACACTGCGCTGTTTTCAAAACATTTTTACTTTGTGATTCTAGACAACCTAGATTCATATTGCAGACAACCCCGAATCATAAATGTAATATATCTGAAAACAGGAGCGTGCCCATACCGTGTGAAGGGTTTTCACAGATCACATCACATTTGTGGGAAGCATTACGGTACGTTCTTCAAATGTGAGAGGTCAGGTGTGAGAGGTTATGTGAATGTGTGCCTCGCACAGTTACAAATACCAAATAAGTCCATGACGCACCCGTTTGATCAATGAACCACTGATGAGATGACTGGCAAGTATTCAGGCGTTGCATATTGCTACTGTAATACCCTCATTCAGTACATCTTGGGCTCCAAGAGACTTTCTTCTTGTTCCATCCTCTTACAAGTAGTTTTAGTATGTCGATCTACTGGGTCTGAGTTTTTACACAACATCCTTTTCACTTTGCCAAATAACTTGACATCAAAGGACTCCTTTCTCCACTTCCAACCGCCTGCCAGACTCGCTAAACTCCTACTTCCATCCTGTCCTCTTTCTTGATCTTTCAGACAACACTTTTGCTGTTCTAGCCCCCTCCCCTCAAATCATCTTGCATCCTGTAACCAGCATGTCTCTCTCCTTCTTCCTCTAAACTCAAACTCACAGGCTGAACTCTACCACAAGCTTGCCACTTGCCACTGCCTCCTGGTCAGATTAGACCTACCAGTATCTTGATCTTTATGGCTAGCACGGTTCTAGAATCATTAAACAGAGCCACCCTACTTGTAGAATAAGTTCCTCTTGTTCCAGCCTCTGACCGAATGCCATCCGACCCATTTTGATCTTGGAACAGTTTATCTAGAGTTATCTAGTGTCTATCACTAGTAATCTTATTCTCATCTTCAGAACTACTGCTAAATTTCTCCTGCTGAGCTTTCTCCTGACACATATAGTCGACATTTCACTTACTTCATCACTCAGACCTGCCTGCTGCATGTATAGCCATTCCATTGAGCTTGGTCTCTAGAAACACCTACCGGGTACCGGTACATGGAAGAAAAGCTTCTCAAGTTCTGTTGGTTCAGTCTCATTCAAACTGATCTCTAAGATTGACTCTCCATTCGCAGCTCCCTCGTAGTTGCATTGAAAGTGTCCTGGGATTGACTTTACTTCGAGAGACCTTCTGGGCAACTTTAGACTTGTCTTCATTGTAGGACAACTGACAGCCTTTTGGCACTTTCCAATGCACTTACTATTGAAATGTGCACTTAAAATTGATTTCCGTTCAACAGAGGGCGCTTTAGCTGTGATGTCAGTTAGGCAAGACACTCATTAATTGTTCTCTATTCAAATTGTGAACCTAAGATGTGCTCATTGAAAGCTCACTCAAACAACAATGAATCACCCACAGAAGAGGACATTAGAACAGAAAAGTATTCTTTAAAAATCAAGCATAGATCACTGCAACACTGAAGCTTTCTCCCTGGAGTGACATCACAGTTTTGATCTTGAATATGGAAGATCGCATTGGCTTAAAAACCAAAATGGCATCCAAATATCTTTTAAAATAATAAAACAAAATTGAAATAAAGTGTTTTGAAAAACACAGTGCATTTCCAAGCACTGTGGTGAAAATTTCATTGTGGAGACTTTTCAACTTATCTTGATATTCATCATGGCCATGTCTGGTCACGGTCTCATTCAACTGAAGTTTCTCTAAAAAAGTATAGCCTCTTCAAGCCTCTGAGCCAAGCAGCCCACCTTGATTTCTAGGACAAGCTTCTCCTGTTCCAGCCTCCTCCTCGTCTCATTCAGCTCCTCCTTCTCCCTCATCAGCTCGCCGATCTCTTGGTTCTTGCCGTCCACCCTTGCATCCAGTCCCTGCCTCATGGTCTCCAGGGCGACATTCTTGGCGGCCATCTCCGCCTGCAGCTGGTTGATGGTATGGCTGCGCTCCACAAGTTGGGAGCGCAGGGCTGACTCGCTGTCTGGAATCGGGGACTGCCTTCGTCTGAAAGGTAACCCGAAGAAACATGGTATGAGCAAATATGTGCCTTTCATTTAGACAAATGGCAAAAGAAGACTAATAGCTCAGTTGGACACTTGGTTAAGTGAGATATCCTAAGCTTGTCAGAAATGGATTGAGTCCACTGTTCTTGATCCTCTGAGTGGAAGCCCGAGATTAGCAAGTAGACGCAGCTTTTTAAATGCAGGTAAAGTACACATCTATGCCACCTCCCTTCACTCCTGTATTATGCTCCACGTATTAGCCTCTGTGCGAGCATATGCAGTCATTACAAGAAACGACTGCCAAGGCCCGAAGCCACCAATGAAGTCCAAGAAACTGACAGGTCAATGCTCCTCATACCATGAGGGCAGGTTTCCAGTTCTACCAGTCTGAATGCAAAGGGTCGTGAGTGGCCACTTAAAATTAAAACTGAAAACAGCGAGCAAAAAAGCTGAAATGTAAGAAGTCCCCAAATGTTTGTGCACAGCAGGTGTACAAAAAACCTGAAATTCAGGTCAACATCTAAACAAAAAGAAAAGCTCAGATCAGCTAAAAAGCTGAATTCTCACACCCCTGATGCAATCGATCAACAACTCTAAATAATGTGCATGTAGTGAATAAATGTGATGTCAAAACAATTGGCGCTTTTCACATTAATCAGGCATATATTGACAAAAGTCCGAGTGTTACTATTCTCTCCTGTGAACAAAAACTTACTTTTGCTTTGTCAGCTCTGCCTGCATCTCATGGGCTTCCTTTTCGAGAATTCCTGCAAATTCAAGACACGATAAAAAATAAACAAGTGCTCCACGCACTATTGCACCTCGGTGGGTCACACAGGAACAGTTTTGTTTCGGGGGGAAGTAGGGCAAAATATTAGGTTCCTGGGTGATGACATAACCTCACTTTCCCAGCCAACACCAGCCAATGAGCAGTGCTGCCAAGAAATAAAAATGCAACTTCAAAAAATGACAATATTCTCTCGGCAAGAATGACCAATTATGCAAATGCTTGTGACTTTGCCCTGTGAAACTTTTAGCTAGTCAACTCCACAAGCACATGCCTGGAGGCCTACTGTGCAAATTCTGCAATTACAAGCAACCTAAATGTACACTAATATTTTCAAACCAGAAAAGTTATCGTTTTCTTCTCGCTTGGTCAAGAGAAAATGCTAGCTTGTAACAATACCAATTCCCAACTAGCTAAGCTTCCTCATGCTATGGTATACTTATTGGACCATGAAAGGACAAACTTGTCTATAGATCCAGATGATACTTTGACAGCAAAACCTGTTACTGTATATGTATGCACATGCCTTTTTAATGGAATTATATGCAATGCGATGGTGATGTATAGGCCTATGTGCATGTACATGTACATGTACTGCTAAATGAGCAAAAAGAGCGGGCATCTTCACCAAGCAACAATCCGCTTTGAGGTGACACATTCTTGGGTGTCCCAAAAAATGGTAAAAAACCTACCTAGTCCTTCTAAACTGATGCAAAATGAATATTGCTATCTGGATGATAAATATGTTCTCAGTGCTCCACAAAATCAACACATACAAAGACACAATGGTCATTTTAGTTTTTATCTGCGGGACCCTTCATAGAATACATGTACATGTATACACTGTGCACTCCTTACAATATCTGGGAAAGATTCTCTTGTGTACAAATACAAAATATAATAAAACTAATACAAAAAATCTTGAATTTCTCTCAGAATTTGTACCAAAGTATATATGGTTAAAACACATACACAAGTAGATATCACAATCACAAACAGTCAGACTGATGTTAAAGAAATGTACCGGTGGCAAAAATAGACAAAGAGGAAGCAGAAAATGACAACTCATTTGTGAAGCTGTGATAAATATATATTGAAATCATGAAAAAACACGACAAATGCCACACCATGTCAACACAATGAGTACAGTACTGTCACACATAGTTGTAGAGGTTGAAATGCAATCTCAACATTGGATTTCACACAAACGGAGGATATTACTGGGTGAGGACAAGCACATACATGTACAAGAAAGAAATATTGTACAAAGGAAGAAGACAAGATGAAATTTGAAACGAGAGACAGAAAAACCATAAAGATGTCACCTGAACAGTTTTGGCAATGACTAGTCCTAAACTTCCAATTCAAACTTATGGATATTTTGCTTATTGATATTTTGTTTCATTTGTGACTTGTTTCTCTTGATGTCAGAAACATAGTTCTTCTTTTATTGAAAATGGGTTTCAGGATAAATGTCCAAAGGCCATACATGTGTTTGCCCCTTCTTTCTTCTGCTGCTGTTCCTATTCAAATTAACAGTGGTAGTGCACGCGAGCATCGGTGGTGTCAAACAGTTGTTGTAAATGGCTAATTGTGAATCAAAACAATGACGCCTGGATAGAGCTACAATGAAATAGCTCGTCAAATGTCGAAGCTTCAGTTCTGTTAAAGCTTTAAGGTCAGTTGTTTTGTTTTCAATGACATTTGAGCTCATTCATTGGTAGACGTTCAGGAACTCCACAGAACAAATTTGAAAAGGGCTTGCTGATGTTTGGAACAGATCAAAATCCAAACTGAGCAGGGTGTTTAGAGAGCACATTTATTAAAGATAAGAAAAAAAAACAGTTCCAGTTTCAAGCAACTTACCCATTGCTATAAAGTTTGATCCAATTAAAAGAGAAACCAAAAAATAGGCATTTGAAAATTTGGCGAGAAAATGGTACAATCACATCAACATGGCAGCTTTTTCTAGAGGTTTCACACTTTCTTTGTCTCAAGAAAACTGGGTGAAAATACATTGACAGATTTATCGTCTAGGCCAAATAAGGTTTCCTCAAGTGATCTTCACTAATATGGGAGGGAAAACTGGACAAAAGAAGTATTACTAAGGCTTGTCTGGCACACACCTGTCAATCAATTGATTAAATTCATTGTAATATTACAAAGCAAGTCCATCATCTCCATACTTGAGGATACTGCACAGCCTCACAGTGACAACACAATGGTATGGTTCGGGGCTGAATCCATTATATACCAGGCAGGAAAGAAGAACAATAGTGACCCAGTTCACTGTACTCAGGAATAAGTCGCTGAGGCCATTTTACGTAATGGCCGAGTAAAGTGGGGACGTGGGTACAAAATTGTGGGGAAAAAATTGATGTGGCAGTTTCTGTATATTTTGGAACTGTATGTACATGTATGAAAGGTTACCATCCAAACACTTGTAATATGTACCATTTGAAAGCTTATAGAATTTTCTTTCTGACCAGGTACATACTCAAAAAGTCAAGTTGCGCCTTATTCCTGATTTCGATGTGCTGGGTCACAATTTACGTCACGTTTGTTTGTGGTATTATCACAAATACACATCAAAATATCACTGAACAGCACATTAGTACCCCACTGAAGGAAGGCCTTTAAAACATAGATTATATTATCACTTTTGATGTCACTAACATCACCTTCTGATAAAAAAATAAAAAAAAAAAAAAGATCTCGAAAAGTACCTCTGGTAAGAAGGGCTGAAAGTCATCCAGCAGTAGAGTTGTAACAAGACCAATAAAATATTGCGACTTTTCAACCCGTTTCAGAGTAGGCAAAATGTTGATACAGACAGAGAAGCCATTTTTGCAACGCACCTTGGAAACATTCTTTCACAAGTTTTATTGCAGGGAACTTGAATTTTTCCCAATTCTTGTTTGATTGTTTATGTTTTGGCGCGGGTAAAAGATCCGTAAGTGTATTTCTGAGCATATCCGAGGTTTCGGCATTTGTTTATGAATGTTTATGAGGTTGAGTTTTCAAGTACCGGTATGGGAACAGCATCCTGCCACCTGACAAAAAACAACCATAACTGATATTCAGAAAAACACCTCTACCCTAAAAAAGGAAATATTGGGAATGTTCATTTCAGTTCCCATTGTGAAGCTCTACAAACTTTGTTAAATGTTTACCACAATGCACTGCCAGAAATGGCCTCTCCGGGTCAACCTTTCATTGGTATACTAGTGTAAATTGCCTGGACTGGTGACAAGGCATGTGTTCTCTCATAAAGGGCTACGATGATATGAATCTGACGTGAATACCGAAACCTTAATAGTGATGAACTTTCAAAAAAGGAGAACATTTGAGCCCCAAAGCTTGAAATCCAGAGCAGTCCTAAGAAATAACACGAGTGTCCACAAAGCAGGACCTAGATTAATTGCTCTGTTGACTGAAAAAGTATGCTGTTAGGATTATCATTGCGGCATCTTGTGTTACAACAGTAAAGTCTACGCTATTAAAGTTGTTAAGCACAAAATGCTTTTCACAGTTACACGATGTGACACGTGTGCACAGGCCAAAATAACTTTGAAACGTGAAAAGTATGCTCAGTATTAGCTTGGAATATTCTATTGTAAAAAAAGCTACTTCACTTTTGAGCAATGAATTTAGAACCGGGTTAGATTAAATAAGAAAACAGACACAGAGCTACCACTTGTAAGTGATCGGTGTGAGCTGAAAGCAAAAGGTCTTACTTATTTTATCGTCTGATCGTTTCTTGGCGTTGTCAGCGAGGAGAGCTTGGCTGTTCAGGTGGTCGATTTGCCGCTTCAGAGCGTCGTTCTCCGCCTGGAGCTTGCGGATTTCCGCTTCCAATTGATCTGTTGGAAATTGTACAGAGGAGAAGTGTACTGTGATGCAGCTTGGATTTTGTGACATTTCGTACACTTTTCACAGCCTTCATCACATGCAGAGATCTAATTTATGGAGATTTGGTTCATCTGAAATGCCCAAGTCACAGTTCATTTGAATAGCTTGTGACTTGGCTTATAGAATGATGGCCTTTGATGCAAAGACTTGTGGGATGAGCTTGCAGGGACTTGTAATAGACTGGACTACAACACCGGCTATGGCTATAGCTGGAGGTGTACATGTACCTCAGGAAACCAATGCCTAGCAGCTTCAACCCTTCAAATAAATGCATGTATTACTCTAGGCTGTAGTCAGTTGATCCGGAACACACTGACATGGCCTAGGGCTGCCTTCTTCATTCTATGCAAAGATTCTTGTTGTACCAGAATTGTGAGGCATCTCCATGAGGGTTTTTGTGGCCCACGGTCTAGTCAGTCACATCAGTACCTCTGTAATCCTGTGCAGTGAGAGATGCCCCGAGACCCGTGCTGTCCAGTGTCCGGGACAAGTGATCAGTCACGAATCGTTGGTGACGCCCTTCAAGCTCGTGGTAGTCCGACTTCAGCCGCTCGCAGTCCAGCTTCAGTCTCGTCCGCTCCCTCTCCAACCTGTTTAGTTGTGGAGGTTAGTTCGAGTTGGAATTGGGCCCAAGCTGCTGTGCACCAAACACTGCATTACACAGACATGTTCTAAGCAGAAATTTTTGCTGACAGCCAGTCTACAGAAGACACATTACCAGTGCAATACCTGTGATGTTGTCACAGAGTGAGCATGCACAAGCAATGTGATAATAAATGAATGATCTTGGGTTACTCCAGCAGTCCAACTGGGTCAAAAGGTCACGCAGAAATCAAAATAGTAACACAAAATTGATATGCTCAAAGCAGTGGACATCCATACACACACATATGTGACCTGCTCTGCAAACATGAATATTGAGTCACTAGAGCCACTTTTGAGTTTCACTCTACAATAGACTGAGGAATTTGAGCCCTTTCTTTTGATGTGTCACTCAGCTTCGTATGATGAGAAAGGATGTTGTGTAGATGTTAAAATGCTGAGGATTCCTATTGCTGAAACGGTGCGCAATATTCTTTCAAAGGCATTTAACTCAAAAGTGGCTCTGGCGACTTGTGACTCATTTTTGTAGAGCGGGTCACATATGCAAATTTGCCCCAACATGAAACAATTTCTCTGAACTCTTTAAAACAGCATCAACTTTCCTTTGCATTGTTCAACTAAGCCACCATGTTTTGGCATTGCGACATTGTGAGATACATCCCTAAGTAACCAGCTAGGCAGGTCAGATAAGCGCAAAAAAAAAGGTCACTTGAGTGTCAAATGAATGCAGTCCTGCTTAATGCCCGAGTACCAGAAGTGCAAGGGAAGTTAATCGAATGCCCTGCACTGGCTGATACCCATTCTTGCTAAGCAGCAGTTCTGCACTCTGCAGGCCCATGAAAGTGCCCCCTCAACTTTTCTAATCGCTCAGTTTTGCCTGGTAACCCGTGTCCAAAACATATCCTGTGTACCAGCAAAACTGACCAGTGGTTGGCAGCGGGCATGTTTGTGCAAACGCTGACCAGAAACTCCTTGGTGACATCAAAGCAGCAAGCACCGATGCGTTTTAAGGTGGCCTGCAATAACGCAGAACCTGAAGTGGTCACATCATCCAAGAGAGGCAAAGTGCCGCAAACCAGACATTTTCGCTCGATGTTCGGCAAATTTCTTGCTGCTGCTGGCATTTCTGTTCATATCCTCTAAGAAATTTTCCAATTTTGTTTGCTTTATTTAACAACCACTTGGGAGATATATAGTTCACTTAATTTGAGACAACAACAAATGCCTGATTATTTTCCACCACTGTGAATCAAAGATGGATCAACTCCCATCTCTAGTTCTTGTTTGGTTGAAATAATGACATTATATAGGCATAACTAAAATTGCAAAATTGCCCAATCAATGACCTAAGCAGAAACCTGTTTTTTGGTTGCGGTCGCGAAAACGCGCCAAGTGTGACAGTACTTACTGGTCATATTCGACCTTTGACACAGAGTCCATGGCCTGGCTCTGCAAGTTGCGCCTCTCGGACTCAAGTTGGGAGACTTTTGTTGAGAGTTGTCGATTGCCTTCCTCCAGAGCTTGCGACTTCTCTTCCAGGTGCCGGCACTTGTCTTGAAGCTCCGAGACAGTTTTGGAGCGGGCAGAGGTTTGGTGGCTGTCATTCTCTATCTGTTGGTGAAAAGTGTAGACCCAGAATAAACTGAACCTGTAAAAAAACAACTGATTCAAAGCTCTAGATGATCAGCATTCCAGGGTTGAAATCTATATCCTAGAGTTCCGAGTAAAATCTACCTCCAAAAGACTGGTTGATCTTCGAGGTGACCGTGGCTAAAACTTTAGCTACAAGGCAATCAGTGCTCATTTATTCAGCTGAAAGTCAATCGTCAAAGAAGTACAACGTTCAAAAACACTGACAACAGAAACATTACACCCTAGCATTTCTAGATCCCTCGGAAGGTGCTGGGGGAGATTTTGAGGTCTGTGGGGTATTGAGGAAGATAGTGCCCAATCACTGTTACTTTACAGAGGCTAGCTATTCCTTGAAACTGCAAACACAAAGAATTGATTTGAGGTTTCCTACACAGTGGCAGATTTTGAAGGATTCATGAAGATTTTTAATAGCAAGAATGCCAACGAAGCTACAGGCTGAGTAGAGATTCCATTTTGCTTGCTTAAAATTCCTTTACTAGATGAGGAGTGAGGTTTACAGTTTCTGACTACAGACCAGGGTGAACGTGGATAAGTTTCAAAGAACTGAGCAAACAAATTTGCTCTGCAAAGAACAAATCGCTTAACAGCAACAAGAAGTGACCACTTTAGTTTTTATGGTGATCTCTACTGATAATGGCTGGTTAGCAGCCAATCTCTTGCTTAGCGAAAAACCTGGACAAATCATCACATTGATAAAAAAAGTCAAATTACTTATACTTCATAACAGCCATAAGGAACACTGATTAAGCCATTGCTTTGGGATTTTTTCTTGGGGGTCGAGTGTATTATTTATTGTGAATTAATTTCGATGCATACATTCAAACATATACATTTGTACTGTTTGGTAAATACAATACAATGACGTAAGTGTACTGATAACCAGTAGTACCAAAAACCCTCCGTAAACAGTACCAACTGTGGTGACCTCCAGAGAAGGACTTGTATTAGCAACGACACATGTCAAATGCCTAGGCCAAGGCCAGGTTCAAGACGGACATTATGTTGAATCATTCAAGGGCTGGTATCGTTCATTGGGCTAATTTATTCAATCATAATGTAATGTGCTAAGCATACATGTGAGGTACATGTAGGCTAAGGATTTCTTGGGTAAGCTTGCCGATATTGCAAAGAAGGATTTACATGTTGTTCAGTTTTTAAAAAGCAGCCTCTATAGACAATTTGGCTCTAAATTATCACTTGGGTACAAGGATATCTGAATGTGCACGCCTTAAGGAATATCTTCCACATCCACATCTCAAACCAAGAAGGAAGGAACACCTGTCATCTATTTCTGTAAACTCACTCTGTGTATTCGTTCCGACAGCAGAGAATTGAGTTCCTGCAGCTTGACTATCTGGTCGGCGAGCTCTTGGCAGTTGTGGCAGGGTACAGGGGTGCTCCTTGCCGATCGTCTGGTCACGCTGTCGGGCATGTCCAGCGCCAGAGAGGCTTGGGCTCTCTCTCGCGCTAGCTCTTCCCTCAGCTCGTTCACTTTGTCCCTATGATCCAACAGTGGGAAAACGGGAGCCAATTTATATGGAGACATTGAGCTGGATCGGTGTTCCAACAGCATGTGCCCAAAAGAAACATGTCCAGGGTTACTGGGGACGGCAATATGTAGAAAGCAAGGTTTGCCCTATCAGTGAATGACTTAAAGTGGAACTTTATACATTTAGATGGAGGAAGTGTGAATCTATTCCATCCAGCTTCAGACCAACACAGAATACGTAATTACATCAGTGAAGGGCGATGTTACAAATATCTACTTTTTTTGTTCTTGTTGTAGGCACTGATGTTACAATATATCCAGCTTTGACATACATTTGTACAAAGCCATTTACTTTCATATATTCCTGCATGAGCCATCAATTTTGAGGTAATCCTTACGCAAGTTTCCACCTTTCTCAACAACTGTCATGAATGTATGGCACGTCTACTTCAAACCCTTCAGACAAACTTGAAGCACTGTTGAACAAGATTGACATGTTGCTTTCCAAAATCCGAAATGATTTCTCACACCTGTTGCTTGTAACTTTGTTCTTTTATTTTGTCAGTATTGTGGGCACTTACTCAGCCAATCCCAGCTCGGCTCGCAGATGATCGACTTGGGCCTGCAGCTGCTCACCTGTCATCCGCTGACCTCCAGGACTCTTGACAATCAATCAAGAAAGGAGACCACCTCATCAATTTAACAAAATCTTTTTGATGCCAAACATCAGAGTCAAATGTTGTGTGTACAGACTACACTGTAACTGCAGTGGCACCACACTTACACGCACATTCTCCAATTTGACACGTGCATGCATTGGGCAAATCACGACACCAAACTGCGGCCAATGAGGCATGCAACGCGCGTGTACCACCTGCCCATGAGCGTTGTGCCACCTGTCCAAGAGCGTCATGCCACCGCAGTAATACCTTCTAATTATGGTTGTCGAATTACACTACACAGAGATTTTTGCCAGGTAAGCTGTGGATGGCGATGCTCATTTAGACACGGACGTGGTTGGGTGGGTGGTTTGGTGGAAGGAGGGGACTGGTTAGGCTTGACATCAAGTTATACGGGGGGGTGCTGTTTGTACATCTTATGTTGCATCCTCTGTGTGTAAATGTACATAGAATCACGGTCTGTACTGATGGTCCCGTTCGCTCAGAACTATCGGTATCTACTGCACCGCGGCTGTAGGACAACTTCAAATCCACACTTGTTTGTTTCTTACTACCGAAAGGTGTATGTGAAGGGTGCGATCAACCCAATTCTCCCATCAACATTGGGGTGAGCCCAATTCTCCCATCAACAATGGGGTGAGCCCAATTCTCCCATCAGCATTGGGGTGAGCCCAATTCTCCCATCAACATTGGGGTGAGCCCAATTCTCCCATCAACAATGGGGTGAGCCCAGTTCTCCCATCAACATTGAGGTGAGCCCAATTCTCCCATCAACAATGGGGTGAGCCCAGTTCTCCCATCAACATTGGGGTGAGCCAAATGCTCCCATCAACATTGGGGTGAGCCCAATTCTCCCATCAACATTGGGGTGAGCCCAATTCTCCCATCAACATTGGGGTGAGCCCAATTCTCCCATCAACATTGGGGTGAGCCCAATTCTCCCATCAACACTGGGGTGAGCCCAATTCTCCCATCAACACTGGGGTGAGCCCAATTCTCCCATCAACATTGGGGTGAGCCCAGTTCTCCCATCAACATTGGGGTGGACATATCCTCCTTTTCTTTGATTGGGGCTCAGAGAGTTTTGAATTTTTTGAAAATTCTTTCCGGATGTACATGTACTCGTATCTTTGTGCCCCATTTAATTATATTTTCAACTTTTTGGGGGTTGCTATTTTAAAAGGTATTTTGGTGCCTTTCTTAATTTTCTCTATTCATAAGCAAAGATATGATGCCATCCCAGGGAGGCCCTATATGATGAATTGTTTTGTGCACCAAAAAGGACTGGAATTTATGAGACTTTACTCTCCTTTTCTTCAGTGACAAGTATGTAAAAGTATGTGGTAATGAGATAATGTGGACCGCTTATGCAAAAATGCTTTCAATGAAAGTATTCTGTGTTCACAACATGAACAGAAAAGCATATAAATTAAAAGCTGTCTTCCTGAATGACATCAAAACAGTGCCCTCAGTAGTCAAGGGAAGTACAGACGATATGAGATGTTTTTAACGAGGGATGCCAATTGGTTCTCACACATCAAAGAAGAATTTAACACTGCATGAAAAGTTCACTGAAGAAAAATTTCAATTTGTCACACCGACCCTAATTTAACCCTAACCCTGCCAGACTCAGCGAAGTTTCTCAGGTGAAAAGATCTGATGCATCAATACACTGGGCAATCAACAGCAGCCGCACAAACTGGTCATGTTGAGACAATGGGAGCTAGTCCCACTGAACAATGCTACTGTTGGATCTTGTGGTGACCGGCAACCACAGACTCCCAGGCTGTTTGGCCTGGGAGAGAGTTGACCTGTTGGATCTTGTTACACTGGGCAGGCAAGCCACTTTGACAAATGATGCAGACTGATGTGTCTGGCAGGGTTTCTAGCCAAGTACCCCAGAGATACTTTGCTATCCGCCCTGAGCAGAAGTGCACCCTCACCGGCCAAAGAAAGACAGATAGTACTAAGTTTTCCAACCATGTTCTTGGATGCGTTCGGTGTGCATGTGAAGAGCACACACTCTAGACTAAAATCGTTGCGTGTACTCAATGTGCACCACGTCAAGCGTGTATCAACTTGCGCACCTATGCGGTGCATGAGTACCAAAGGACTGTCAATTTCATTTCCAAACACGCCCTCTTTTGTTCCTGCTCGGAGCGGATGCTTAGCCTCAACGATTTTTTCCCACCTTCATTCTGTCCTCCTACCTGCCCCTTGGAGAGGATGTTCTTCTGCATCTCCAGCAGATGGATGACCTGCTGGTCCTCGGCGTGGTCCTGTGTCAGCTGTTTATTTTCTTCCCTCAGCCGGTCTGCTTCGTCCCGGTACTCCGCGTATTGCTCCTGCTTGATCCTGGCCGCTTGCAGCTCCGACTTCAGCTGAACGTGCTGCGAAGGGGATTGGGGTGGGGAAAACAAAAGACAGTAACGTTACACGAAATAAAGTACTGCAGAGGAAGGGTTTTATCCAGGACTGAAAAAAAAAATGCCTATTGTCTGTCCTCTCCCAGGCAAATCTTTGATACTAACACCCCTCGGTGCTATCCAAGACCATGTTCCCACTATCAGGCCCTATATTTCGGAAGGTGAGATTCAAGTAAAAAAAAAAAAAATGGGCGATTGCAAAGCGAAACCTGTCTGTTCAAATGTCTTTTGCCTGTTCTCAGGACATGCAGACAGATGGCCTGATGAGATACTGTGTGGAGGGAACACCTGTAGTTAAACCCCCACAAGTA